TAGCGCAGAAAGAGGAACAAATATTACCATGATTTCGGCAGTAAATGCTGGAGGTGGTTTTGCGCCACCAATGCTTATTTTTCCTCGCGTCAATTTTAAAGATTTTATGTTGACTGGAGCTCCACCAGGAACTATTGGTGGCGCAAATCCTTCTGGTTGGTCCAACGAAACATTGTTTATTCAATTTTTTAAACACTTCCTTCAATACGCAAAGCCGTCAAAAGATTTGCCATGTATTATGTTGATGGACAATCATGAGAGCCACATCTCGGTCCCTGTTATTCAGTTAGCTAAAGATAATGGAGTGATCCTGGTAACATTTCATCCTCACACAAGTCACAAAATGCAACCATTAGACAGGACCGTATTTGGTGCGTTTAAAACTTATTTTAATACAGCAATGAATGAACACATGATTTCACCGGGAAATATTGGTAAACCAGTCTCAATCTATGACCTTGCTCAACTCGTAGGAAAGGCTTTTCCTTTAGCTTTTACACCGAGCAATATCACTCAAGGATTTAAAGTCACCGGATTTGTTCCTCTAAATGAGAATATTTTTCAAGATTTTGAATTTTCCCCTTCGAATGTGACTGATCGCCCTGATCCAGCTGCACCAGAAGACAATATTGTTATATCTAATCAGCAGCTGACCAATAATGTTCCATTAACTTCTAATTGTCTTGCCTCCACACAGGCGATTACAAATATTGGAGATGTCCAAGCAGAACCTTTGCCTTCAACATCAAGTGCTTTTATTAGCCCTTCCATGATAAGGCCACATCCAAAAGCTGCCCCACGCAAGAACACTCGGAAAGGGCGACGAAAGGGAAGATCGCGCATATTAACTGATACCCCTGAAAAACTTATCATTGAAGAACAAAAACCAGTTAAAGCAAGAAAAGTTACAGTATCCGCTAAGCTTAAAAAGACTAAATGTAACCCTAAACAACTTGTTAACGTTAAACGAAAAGTACTGGCAGATCCTGATTCTTCATCAGAAACTTCCACATCTGAAGATTTTTCTTTACAAGATTCGAATGATTCTGACAGCTCTCTACATTTTTCTGATTTAGATGTAGGCATGAAATTAAACAATAATATTGAAACATCGTCACCAGAAGCTTCAGAAATATCTTATCCTTCTCCAAGGTATGCAGTGGGGGATTTTGTTATTGTAGTTTATGAGGCTAAATTTTTCCCAGGAAAGATACTGGAAACCACCACAGAGGGAGCGGTGGTAAGTGCAATGCAGAAAACCTTTAATTTTTGGAAATGGCCAGAGCGAATAGACTCGATGTTTTATCTCTGGGATGATATTCTGAAACATATTTCTCCCCCTAAAAAAAGTCATTCGAAACGAGACATCTACGAGGTAAAGGAGATGTGTAATATTAATGAAAATTAACAGAACTTTTAAGTTACTAGGCAGTTGTACACATTAAATTTTTATTTTAGTTCTTCTTTTTAACAATGTAATACATTTTAAAATCATATTAAGTTGTTTTATTTCATGTCACTGCATCAAAAGTTATATATTATTAAAATATATATCCATTATGTCCAAGGTACATCTTGTCTGTGTTCCAGGTACACCACCCCTGTTGTACCTTGGACAATATGTAATTTTTTTTTTAATGTTATTTATCGAAATAAAAAATGTATCTTTCTTCGCCAAAAAAAGATATTATACGTTTAACAGTACATATTATAGAGTAAAGAGTATTAGGTGAACCTAAACAATATGTATAAATAAAAAATAAATAAATAAACAAAATGGTCCCGAGGTACAACAGGTTCCCCTACCTAATTTTGGTCGGTAACTAAAAGATGAAAAATTATGAGACTTTTTTTGACTTTATTTGTTAGCACGATTCATGTATGATGAGGACAATAACACTTTATCAATATATAACTAGCTAAGGGCCGATTCCACCGTTGTGTCAAACGAAATTTAAATTATTAAACGAAGATTAAAATGACATTGTTAATGTAAAAATGTCATTTTAAACTCCATTTAGTAATTTAAACTTCGTTTTTGTTAATATAAAAATGTCATTTTAATCTTCGTTTAGTATTTTAAACTTCGTTTAACAAAACGGTGAAATCTACCCTAAGTAAAAGTTTATAAAATTATTGCAACAAAATAGCTGTTGAGACAAAAAGTTATCGAAACAGCCAAAGTATTTTTTGCTCGAATTACACACAAGATTTTTTCTACGATCACACCAAAATAAAATAAATAATTAAATTTTATTAGAAATGGGTTACCTTTTCGTTCGTTATAATATTTTAAGTTTATTTGACATAGGCCTACTCTTCAAAGAGAAAAAATGGTTTGGTACTTATATGCCGGTTATTATTTATGATTTAATTATTTACGGAAAATACCGTTCAATGAATTAAAATATTAGTAAGTCAATTAATAGTTATTTATGTAACCAGTTACGAAATGCCTTATTTTGTGTAACGAGTAAATATTTGCAAAACAAGCGGAGCGAGGTCCCTCAACATGAGCGACTTACACAAAACGGCATTTCGTAACGTGTTTACATACAAGATTTTTTCTAATTTTGACTTGATTATTTATAAAATTGTGTTAAAAATGATTCACCATCATTCTTCTGCAGGTACTTCCAATCAAATATTTTAGAATTGTTTGTTGTATTTGATTGCTCTACGACGTTTTTTTTTTCAATAGTAATAATAAAAATAAGGGACATGTGTAGTGTTTCCGATGTAATTTTTGACATTACTCGCGAGAAATTTGCAAAAAAAAAAAAACATTTTTACCCATTATCCTTAAAGGAGTACGTCAAAATTTTACCCCCAACATTTCTGGGCAGTTCTCAATAACGTTGTTATTTTTCTTTTTTTGTTTTCTTTTTTGTTGTTAAACGTTATGTTATATTTTCAAATGTGAAATGTCACTATTCATTGCCTTTTTTTCGATATTTGGTTTTTTCGATTTTTCGCTTTTTGGATTTTTCGATCTTTTATTTTTCGATTTTTAGATTTTTCAATTACTCGATTTTCGATCTCTCGATTTCTCGATTTTCGATTTCTCGATTTCTCAATTTCTCGATTTTTCGATTTCTCGATTTCACGATTTTTCGATTTTTCAACTTAAAAACAAAAAAGAGGCAGTTTTATTTATTTTCATTTCGTAACTGGTGACATATTCAACTTTTCGTAATCAGTTGCATAATGTTCTACTTTATGCAACTGGTTGCATAAAGTAGATAGTTTTGACACTTGCTGCGATTACAAAATATATTACTTTATATGTCAAAATTAGAGAATATAACAGAATGTAAATTAAATGGATAGATCCCATATTAGCGAAATATTTGACGAAGCCCTAAACACATAAAACAAAATTTAAAAAATTTATTTCAAATTTTTCTTTATTTTGACTTTAATTTTGACTTTCAAAAGGTAAATATGATAAAAAAATTGGCTTTATATTATGCTCCGATTTCACATATTCAATTTTATAATTATAATTTGACAATATTACTGCCCATCTACGTAGTCTGTTGGCTGAAAATTGAGGTATACATTTAGCTGGGTTAAAAATAGTTACCAGAGGTAAGTAATCTGTAACTAGGATAAAGAAATGTCCATATAAATATTCATTAATTTTATTTAAGCCAAAAATGATTGCAAGGACCTCTCTTTTAATTTGGAAATATTTTTGTTCGGACTTTGATAAGATACGCGAAGCAGAACCTACAGATTTCTCAATATTTTTTTTTTTCAAAAACATGCCATCATGGCCCTTATTCCCACATTTGATGCATCTACGAATAATTTAATCGGCAACTCAGGCTGAAAATGCACAAGAGCATCATTTGTTGTTAATTTATTTTTGATTTATTCCAAAGGTTACTTGCAAGAATTATCCCAAATCCATTTCACCCATAAAAAATAAAATAAAAAAAGTCCTAAAGCAAAATCATATCCTCCTTCCCGTTAGTGACTTAAAAAAATTATTTCCCAAAAACCGGTCCTTAAGCCAGGTCCCTCCATTTTGTGGCGATAGTACTATTTTTTTTTATTGTGATTATTTTCTTCGCGGAGCCCTCACAAAGGTTTTGCGGAGCCCCAGGGCTCCACGGAGCACACTTTGAGTAACACTGTTATAGAGAATTACTAAATAAATAGTTCTGAGAAAACTATTGAAATCAGTTGTGAAGTTTGAAACGAATAAATTGGCAATGAAATTGATATTTTTGTATTTGATTGTATGTTTCTCTTTTCACTTCCTAAAAAAAGATTCCCCATGAAACAAGAAATAGTAAACAGTTTATAATAATAACCTTTATTTGCTACTTATAACATGTACCAATGACCAAGTCCGATTCTGTTTATTTTCAAATCAACAAATATGGACGTCGACATAATCCTTAAAAATTAAATATCTCACCGAAATAAATGTAAGTTTCTTTTATCTCCGTCACATTTCGCAGGTTTATTATAAATAAAGCTTTTTACAACACATCTTGGCATTTTCAACGTTAATTTCCAAAATTTAAGTCACTAAAATACCAAATTAATTCTCGTTGACACATTAAATTTGGATGGACAACGCTCTGACACGTGATGTTCTCAACTGTGATTGGTGGGTGTGAATCATTTCGAAATGGGATTATGCGCAGTGTCTTATGTTCCATCTAAGGTTTGTATAATCTAAGTTAACAATGGAACATTGATCGGCTTTAAAGTTTCCAAGAATTTACTGCGCACACTATTTATATACCGAATTATCGTAGGAGCCCAGCGTGAGTTATAATAACTCACTATTAAAACTCACGCTATTTGTTTATTGATACTATTAATTGCTCAAAAGCAGTTAAATAATTAATATATAAATTAATAGGAGTAGATAAAAATGTTTAAAGGCCTAAATAGCGAAAACTTTGAAAAAGAATAGAGATGTTTCTGTTGAAAACTTTCCTGAAAAAACGTTGGAATGCATTCAGTTTTACTTTACTTACCCAATCCCACAGATAACGAATAACTGTATACCCCGTATACGATAGACCATTTTAGGCAATAGTTATTACCATTTTTCTTGTAACTTATGGGAAAGAGGCCAAACAATCTTGAGGTAATGATCAGGGGTTGAATAACCTCAAACGTTGGGGTCGAAATATATAAATCCTCCACAATCATCTTCGGAATATTCGCTGAATCAACCTAAATAAAATTTACAGGGTAGGTAAGTCACAATTATTGTCCAAATTTTTTTGAATTAATAATAAAATTTATGTAAGTACAAAATACTATAACTTTGGCTGTAAATTCTATAGGTACGGAATATACAGGGTGGATCACCAGAACGCCTCGATGTATATCAGAAAAGACAACAATTTAAAAATTATTTCAATTATACAGGTTTGTCCAAGAAAATGATACATATGAAAAAAAGGTTTGTTTTAAATTTCCCTTGTTTTTCCCATTATAAAAATACTAAATAGTATGAGATTATACAGGTTATTACACACGTTATAACCATTTTTATATGAAAATCGTATTGATTACAATGACCTGTATAGTGTAAAAGAAACAATTGAAAACCAAGGTTTCCGATATTAGTCAGCATTTATGCCGATGTACTACTTTTTTCAATTAGAAACAAATCTGTACAGGGTGAAGCAAAACTCAGATACATCGTTTTATCATTATTTTTTTAAATTGACCCCCGTATTTTACATCAACATTTAAAAGTACCTTATTTAAAGATTCATTTGAGTTAAGCATTCCCTAAACTTAAAGTTAATAATTTTAGGACATTTTTAAATTTAAATAACAAAAAAAATTCACAAAATAGTTTAATTTAAACTGGTTAACAGGAAATAGATTGTTTTTTGATTGGTGATTAGAATTTAACCAGCTATAATTTATTATCAACTAAAAAAGTTAATAGGACTAACATTCAGTTAAGTATTAAAAGTCATTTAAAAAAACCGACTTCAAAATCGTGCAGATGCCACCACCACATCTTGACCAAATTTATATGGGACCACCCCTGAGGTACCCCCTTACTAAAAAAAAATCATAGAAATCGGACAAGGTGGTAAAGAATTATCGCTAAATATACATAAAAAATTAAGAGTTTGAAATTTTCTCATGGACCCAATTCTCGCCGCTCCTAATATGAACAAGACCATAGGGACAGCATTGCTATTTCTTATACGCTAACAGAAAGAAAGTGGATCAAATTAGACAAAAGTGGCGCAGATTTGTGCTCATTAAAATGGTGCCAAGGAACCTTTGATATCTACAGGGAGATTCACAATATCGGATAGTTCGTTATTACTAACGTCATTAATGATGCAACATTTATTTTTAAAAAAGTCTAGCTGATTTTTTAATATGACCTTTGGTCGTAAATAGGAGTAGTATCTCGAGTGGTACTTAAAAAATGCTTAGAAATATGAGTTGGACCTTTGAAAATCAACTTACGACCTGCATAAATATAATAAAGGCTACTTAGAGAAATTCTAATTAAATAAAATCTTTCAAAATAACACTTAATAAGTAGTCAATATAAAACAACTAAAAAAATGATGTATTTGAATTTTGATTCACCCTGTACAGATTTGTTTCTAATTGTAGTGCATCGGCATTAATGTTGACTAATTTCGAAAACTTTTTACCGCAAAAAAATGGTTTTCAATTGTTTCTTTTGCAATACGTAATTGAAATCAATACGATTTTTATATAAAACTGGTTATACGGTTTAAAATACCCATAATCTTATACTATTGGGAAAATGGGAAAATACAGGGTGTTCCATTAAAAAACCTAACTTTGATATGTATCACTTTATTGAAAAACCCTGTATAGTTGAAATTATTTTAAAATAGTTGCTTTTTCTGATATATATCTTGCTAAGAAAACAAATTTTAAAAAATCATAGTTTTGGCTCTACAGACCGAGGCGTTACCGATTGCCCACCCTGTATACCACTATAATTTCGAAAAGCAAATCTCGATCAAGTGAATAACAGAAAATACATAAATGTATTTTGCCTATACGTATTAAATAATAAAAATCAATGAATAATGACTATTCTCACATTACATACAATAACAATACTATCTATTCTATATAGGGTGTCCCATTGACAATGGAACAGTACAACTGAAGAATCTCTGATTAGAAATGAGACGATTAAACCAAACATATTTAGGTAAAATTCTGTAAAAGTATTTGGTGTCATAAGATACACATAAGAGCAAAAAAATTGATAATTAAACTTTGCCAGTGGCGCACGGTACGGGTAAAGTAACACCTAAATGTTACACTGTCCAAACACTGATTTTAACTATAATTTTAAGTTTGTTGATGTTTTTTATGTAAGTCATGTATTATTGTTGAAAATTCATAAACTGATTGATTTTCAAGATATTCTCACTATTTTAGCATTACCAATGTATATTAGTTATTTATCGTCAGTATAATTTCATTTTTTGCTAAAGTATTCAAAAGGAACACCCTAATAATCTCTAATCTTTTAATTTTTTTGTTACACCCTAGTTTTTTAAATAAAAATTAAAAATGAATATTAAATTTTATCAATTTGCAGATATCAATTTTTGGAAAACTTGTGACGTTTGGAACCGTTATTTCGTTATTTTGACACAATCACCTCTTACTCAAATGTCATTTGTCGTCTAAGCCTAGTGAGATTTTTTGATTTGGTTGACAGAGACAATCAACTTTCATTTCATTTTAATCTAGGTCATCCGATGAATTAGATGATATTTATGTTAATGGCCGTCTGATTTTATAAGGTATGTTTTAATAATAATATGTTATTAAATAAATATATTTTGTGCAAGGATTTCTTAAATAAATTTTCAAATTTTAAACATAACCTCAATATCAACAATGAATAATACATGGTTGGTTTTATATAAAATTACATATTATTAAATAAGATTTTTCCTTTTCATATTACATATTACAGTGTTTGCTTTTAATGATATATTTTTCCAAATTATATTATAGAAAATAAAATATTCAATTTTATATAGGATCGCAAGATTTACAAACATTGTTATTAGTTTAAACAGATACATTAAAATATACGATCATTTTTCTTGTAATACAAAAAAAAATGATTTGACGTAAATCAGTTTATCCAAAATGCTTGTTAGAGTAGGGTGACCATATGTACAGCATTTGATCTTGTACAGCAAACGTACAGCATAGCGCCGCTATCAGAGAAATAAAGTAATGCCAGAAACTTATATAAATGAATCTAATGACAGCTACGCATGCGCAACAGCTATTTTTCCCATGTATATATTTACGTACGCCTAATATGCATATATGCCTAATATGCATATGTGGTGGATCGCTGTGGATCCAGCTTAAGAATAAGTTGTTTTTGTTTTTAGAATTAATTAGGCATTCCAACGACCTGTCCAAATGGCTACCAGTGGGTAATGACACTTTAGATATGGCAACACTGTTGTCATGTTGTCATTAACAGGATCAATGATACATATATAGTTATATAGATTGCTCAAAGTTGGTCGTTTACGAGCGGCCATATTGCCTGGCAAATATTTATTAATTTCAATCGGTTTAGCAAATATGTGTTTTAAAACCAATTTTTAGCCTTTAGATATTTAAAAAAAAATAATTGCTTACATTTTTACTTCAAGGCATAAGCTTATGTTTATTTTGAAAAATATGGATGATCAATCTATGTAACTATCTATTTCATTGACCTTGTCAAATCACCAGGCCTACAGGGTTGCCATAATTTTGCCATATCATAACCCGTCAAAACCCACTGGTAGCCATTCAGTTTGGAATGCCTAATTGATTTTGATTTCAACGTAACGTTATGTTTGTTTAAGTTGTCATTTTGTAATTTTATAATAAAGCCTTTCATCGAAATATTTCTCAGTCCCTATTACTATACGTATCGAGCCAAATAAATACTTCCATCCAATCGCTCCCGACATATTGTAACTTATATTGTTCTGTATTTTTCAAATTCTAATCCATAATACGAAATAAGATTCTTTTGTAATTTATATATGCACAGACCCTTTATTCCTATAATAGTAGTTTGTGCAACAAGAGTGGATATTGACAGTCTACTCGAGTTGTACAGTATATTTTTTCTGACACTAAAAAAAATCTACGAGTCCTGTCTAAAAAGTATTTGACCTTAAGTTATCCCGCGCAAAGTAGTGTTTCTAAGGCGGCGCCACTGGAGGAACCTTAATGTGCATGCTCGAAAATTTTCAGCGCGTTCGCTTGTGCAAGTCGCTGGCTGGTGGTCGCCAGGTAAGGTGCTGTTCTTAGTGTTCGTCGGATTTAGTTTTCTCGCAAGATGACTGAACGAATTGAGCAAAGATACTGCATCAAATTCTGTCAAAAGCTTGATGATTCTCAAAGCCAAACAATTCGTAAGATTCAGCAGGTGTTTGGAGAAGATGCGATGGGTATAACACAAATTAAGGAGTGGTTCAATCGATTCAAAGATGGCCGCACATCAGCGGAGAGTGCGCAGCGTTGTGGCAGGCCCCAAACTGCTCGGAGTGCAGCTAATGTTGAGAGGGTGCGAAATTTGATAATGGCAGATCGTCGTTTGACAGTGCGGGAGATTGCAGAAGAGGTTGGAGTGAGTAAAAATTCTGCACATGCAATTTTGCGTGAAGATTTGAACATGTACCGGGTGGTTGCGAAACTCGTACCCAAATTGTTGTCGCCAGAACAAAAAATATTCGTTTTGACATTGCATAAGACCTTCTGGACACCGCCAACACTGATCCTGGGTTTTCAAACACCGTGATAACTGGAAATGAGTCATGGGTGTACGGGTACGACCTAGAAACAAAAAGACAGTCGAAGAAAGCGCGTCAGGTGCGAAGCAAAATCAAAGTGATGCTGACTGTTTTCTTTGATGTACGTGGAATTGTGCATCACAAATATGCACCGGAAGGACAAACAGTGACAAAGGAGTACTATAAAGCACTTGCATCATGATAGCGCCCCTGCACATTCATCCCAACCCAGGCAGCACAAAGACATCTTTAAGACGTCTGTCAGAGACATGACAGACGTCTAAAAGACGTCTTATGGCGCCGGTCAGACGTCTTAAACACATCTTTAAGACGTCTGATGTTACAAAAGGTAACGTTCTTAAGACATCTTGAATATGTCTGTTTTTCGACATTGGTAAGACGTACTCTCGGATTTAGTTTTAAAAGCTTCTGTAAATTCCTTCTATACAAAATAAAACACATATTTTCTAAAAACATTATTATTAAAAAAAACCTTTCGTTAAAAAAAGTAATATTACAATTTATTTTTTTTTTGATTCTTTTTCCGTTAGTGGTTAATCTTCTGTCTGATGCTCTTCTGAGCCAGTCTGGGTTGCAATAACTTTAACTGTGCTATGTAAAATATTATGCACTATAGCTCACTCTGTTAAATTCGCTTTAATAGGATTTTCAGTAGATAGTGCGGGTTAAGGGTGGTCAAAGAATGGTAATCTTCCTGTACTTTCAACTCTAATTCAGATATTTTTACATCCGATGAAGCTTCTAAGTCAGCTCTAGACGCCTAGACGTACTTAAAACACTAATAAGGGTTCTTCTATTTGTTTTTTTAGTATATGCAGTAAACTTTTATGCTTATAAATTCACAGTAATCCACGGCACAAGACACAAATCAACGAATATCGAACAAAAACAAATCTCTCGGCTTTCATCTTCAACATCAACGACAAATGACAAGGAAAGGACAACGCAGAACGTCACGAACCACGGAACCCCAATAATACCAAAGAAGTAGAGAGGGTAGAATGAAGGTACCGTTTACGCATCCATCACGAGTGTAGAAATTATGGGTGATTCAACCTTCAACTCTTATCCATGTAAATGACAAGGAGAGGTTGCCCTAAACAAATTCCAGGATTGGCTTTGTTCAGCGATTATGTTCATGTTCAGCTCTGTTTTTTGTTTGTTTTGTGGCTGTTGTAAGATTCTTTGGCGTCAATTCTTTGTTATCTTGCGTATATTTGTGCTTTTATTTCAATTTAGTATTAAAGTATACTTGTTAATTATTTTCCGATGCACTATTTTATAATTGTTGCACAAAATGTTGTTAAACTATCCCTGAATCTTGTTTACGAAATGTGCAAAACGAAATTGTGCATAGTGTCTAGACTTTTTCATTGACAGTTATCATTCTACCCCTCGCCACTTCATTGAATAATACTCACATTCAGATACACGTTCTTGTTTAAATTCTACTGTTGAAAAAAGACAAAGCATAATAAAAACATTCGCTTCGATCGATGAACCAAGTTCCGGTCAAGTTGAAAGAGCGCGTAATTCAATTTGTCTTATGTTTTAATTGTTAATTTTATTTATAATTATTATTTTTATGTTATTAAATATTTACTTTTTTCTTTTTTTTAGTTCATAGCACCCACTCTATCACCTTTGTACCTTGTACAAGTTTGTACAGATCCTTGGGTGAGTGGGTTCTATACGTTGTTGGATCAACCTGGGGTTGTCCAAAAAGAGCCTGTCTTTTGCGATCTAGAGCTTCGCATTCGCACAGTATGTTTGGCCGTTTCTGGTTTCTTGTGACATAGTCGGCACATGAGTTCCCCATTGTACATGCCAATTTTGTTCAAGTGTCCCTTTACTGGGGCGTGCCCAGTCATGAACCCTGTTATCACTTTCAACTGGTTCCTATTCATTAAGAGTAGTTCTCCAGTTCTTTTGGGACATGGTCTGCCTATGAAGGCTTTTCCATGTGCCTGTTTTGGGGTGCTTCTCCAATAGTTGATATGTTGTTCCCGAATCCAGTCATATATTTACTTACTCTAATGAACAAATGCTCGTGAATAAATAAAAAAAATAAGTATATTGTGTAAATTAATAAAAAAAAATTAAAAATAAATAAATTTTTTGTGAATTTAGAAACGACAAGTAAGCCAGTACTTTTTTTAATGTTGCCATTATTTATATTTTTAAATAGATAGGCATTTAAAAGACGTCTTTAAGACGTCTATTTATGTGTCCTAAAAGACGTCTTTATAAAGACGTCTTTAAAACATCTTTTTAGGTCTTTAGGCGTTCAGTCATAACTACGACATAAAACAGACGTCTTTAAGATGTCGTGTGCTGTCTGGGAATTGATCAACACTTTCTTAGCCAAACATGGAATTACAACCGTTCGCCAACCTCCCAACTCTCCAGACCTGGCTCCTTCTGGTTGTTTTCAAAATTAAAGACGCCACTAAAAGGGTCCCGTTTTGAGAGTAGAGAAGAGGTAATGCGGAACGCGACGACGGAACTGAACACCATTCCAAAAGAAGACTTCCAAAAGGTGTCTCTAGCAGTGGAAGGATCGGTGGGCTAAGTGTGTGTAAGAACAAGGGGCCTACTTTCCAGGAGATTAGGGTCCCAACTTCGTCAGGTATTCGAAATATTTTTTCTGGCCAAAGGTCGGATACTCAAATTTACCCAGATGCAGACAACGTCTGAAAAACGTCTTTTTGTATCTTGGTTTGCTCTCAATATCCTAGGACATTATTAAGACATCCGTCAAAAGCCATAATTGAGACGTATTAATGTGAGAGCTCAAAGACGTCTTAAAGACGTCTTATTTATAGCTTCTTTTAAGCTCTACAGACCAATATAAGCCATTAATAAGACGTCTCAAAGACGTCCTCTTTTGTAACATCTGACGTCTTTTAAGGCGTTTTAAGGACGTCTTTCAAAGAATACCAGACGTCTCAAAGACGTCCCATATTTCATATGATAGACATCTTTAAGACGACTTTGTGCTATCTGGGTAAAAAATATTTTAAGACAAAATAACTAATTTTAAAATAATTTATGAATTTTCCTAATTTGCATAATTCACATAATTCTTAGAAACTAAAAAAAATCAAATTCTTAAGAACGAAGAACAGGTATACCAAATATAACTTCTGACAAATCATTACATTACAATTCTGATATATTTGCCTTTTAAAAATAATTGGAAGATTTGCTTTCAAAAACAACAGATGTATAAAAATGCCCGAATTGAATTAACTGTGACAATTAGTGGCTAAGTGTTTTATTTACCGGTACAAATTATTTTCTCCAAAATTAACACAAAAATAGAGATAATCACTGTCAAAATAAATGCTCTACGTTTCTGCAAAGTCTAATGATACTGGTATAATTTTTTTTATTTTTTCTGAAAACAGCCGATGGATATGTGTCGTTATTGTAAAGATATCTTCAATTGTTGTAAGCGGATGGTTGAGAAAATCTACATGCATTGGTTGTATATTCGCTCCGTGTGTGATGACATCGCTATTTAAAATATGTACTAAATAACAGTATTATTTTTAATAGAATTAGTAATTAAAAATATTGCCGTAGAGAAAGTGTTTCTTTATAGTCCATGATTTTTTTTATATGCGATTATTTTTTAAATTATAGTAATTTGTTATTACAAAAAATGTCCAAACTAAAACACTCACCTTTCAAGTAGCAACCCTGTAAATCTCCTCTTTTGATACCTATCAGTGAAAAAATGAATCAGCTCTTCCGTATTCCTTAATAAATATGTCACTTCCAGCTATTCTGGAAAATAACTGCGGATAAACGTGAAGTCTGAATATGACTATCAAATTGTTTTTGAAACGAATTTTTTCCCTTATCGTAGGTATCTAGGTATACAAAAACAAAAACAAAGTGTCCGATTCGTATCAACGCAAATACCTATATATATAAAAGCTTACCAATATATTATTCATTCATTTGCTGACAGCACGTGTGATGAAGACAAGAAAAATCATGTGAAGTTCTGCGTGTTTCGGGAAACCGAAGTATTAAATAAAAGAATTATAAAAAGGCATTGATGTGTAAATATTATCCTGAAGTTGTCACTTCTGGATAATAAAGAAACGTCGTAGTGTCAAAAGAATATAAGAAGAAAAACAAGAATAAACATTTAAGGAGGGACTATGAAATATAAAATAAAGTAAGAGGTTACAAACATTTCAGTGATTCTATCTTTTTTTGTTTTCAATAAATATTAAATTTTTAAATGTTTATATTTATAGCACAAAAAATTATCAAAAATGTATACCAGATTTACACAATTAAGTCCACATTTATAAACCATACTCCGCCAAGTACTTGGCCATTAAGTTAGGTACTCAGACCAAGTTTCTTGGCCGAATGCGTACTTAAAATAAAAGTAGAAATGTTTTTAAATAATTTTCCAACCACAATTACATGAGTAAAATCTAATATAGGTATTATGTGATGAAAGGTCAGAATCCAGAGAGAAAATGGGTATTTAAAAATGAACAAAAGTATGAGGATATGCTAGAGAGAGTGATTATTAGGTTAGAAAGTAGCGCATAGAATTAGAATAAAATGAGTGATAAGAGAAAGAAAAGTAATAAATTTAAAAAAAGGAGATTATGTCACAGTAAGGACTCTTAGAGTGTCAAATAAGAAAAAAAAATGTTTCGGAAAATTCCGTATCCGTTTGGGGGGCGTATATTGTTGAATATTATATTTATATCATTGTTAAAGTTGTAAGTGTTTGTAGTATTGTTTAATTGTAGAATTATGATAGTTTTTTGAGTTAAATGTTAGCAATCCAGCAGCTTAATTAATAAAAATATAAAAGTTAAAAATTCAAGAGTCAAAATTACGTGAGTTTAATAAATTAGTAAATTGATATTCACGATATGTCTCTTGGAAAAGTGAAATATGTGTGAAAAGTAATTTGAGGGATTTGGTATAGAAATTACTGGATGATGACGTCAGAAAGTTGGAATTGGAGATGGCAATATCGGGGTGGGGTATAGAAAATTTTATAACGTATTAGTCAGATCAGAGACATACAGATAGAAAACGCAACGACCGCAGTAACATGGCGTCATCTATGCATTTCAGATGGTAACTAAAGGTAGGTTACGATTACAATTAGAAGAACATAGCTACGTCATCATTTGGCAAAGTAATTAATTGGTTATCGCCGCCTAATGGGGGTTTAGTGGAGTGTTAATATTATAGGAATATAGAAAATATAGTTTTATACCTAACAACTTATTTTTTATTTATTGATAGTTATAGATAATATCAGAGACAACAGAGACGTGTAATTTAACGGGAAAATTTGTTCGGTGGTCCATTTATATTACATATATGACTTTATTTCTCTTTTATATTGATCTTTACATATATTTATCTCTCTCCAATAAAACTAACACCAATCTTAGAGGTCGCTGATGTTGCTAATTTTTTGACGTCGACATATTGATTTAATAGATTAGAACTGAAAACTGACAATGTTATGATTGTTATTTCTTAGAGTCTGATTTTGTTGTTTAATTAATTTTCTTTGAGGGGGAATGTTTATTTTTGCATATTATTTTTTGCATGTAGCAATTTCTGGAACCAAACTCGCGTTTTTGTACACTTTTCTTTCTAGAGGTAAGTAATTTCCAATGTATTAAGAAAACCAGTGTATAATGTGTGTGTTTAATAATATATTACAAAATGGCTATAATTATTTTAGGTGAATTGGAACAGAGCCATTGTTACAGCTACTTTTATTCATTAAGTAGGTAGATGAATGTCTGGACAGCTGTAATAGCAGCACAAAGTTCCCACCTACTAGAAAAGTAAAATGTATGCTGAGTAAAAAATCTGCACATGTAGTATTGGCAAAGGACTTTTGAAATGATTAGAGATTGGCTATTTCTTACATACACCTACCTCTAATAGTCACTAAGATTGTAGAGTCATTTAAACGAAGAAAAAAAATTGAATCACGGAAGGGCAGAATTTTAAATCAGGATGCATTGGAAAATAAATTTGAGGACATCAGGTCGGTTTTGGATTTTAGAGAGAGATCAATCTTAAGAAAAGTTAATTTATCCTGCAGAACAACCGTCTTTAACCATTACCATATTAAGATTTTTGTCAAAGTGCTTTGTTTTGAAATTTTCGAATAGGTGCTATCTTGGTTGATCTGGCCCAGTCTCAGATCTGTGGGTCATATATCCAAAATGGTTTCAGAAGTTGCTTGTTTATAAGCATGTAGTTATTTAGTTTTCTTTTCATTTCCATCCCAGCTTTGCATCTAGATTCATTCCTAGTTATTTCGTTGTATTTTCATATGGTTATCTCCAGTTCATCTATTGTAAGAGTTATATTTTTGTGGTTTATATTATTTGCAACTTTTTTTTCTACTTTTTGGTCCATTTATCTAATTTATTAGTAAAACTTAGTAATTTTTGTGTAGATTTTTTCACAAACGTTCCTGTTGCTAGGAGAGCGGTGTTAACTGTAAATTTGACGGTTTTTACATTATTCATATCTAAAATATCGCATGTACAAAGTAAATATAAGAATGAACCAAGTATACACCCTTGTTGCACTCAGAGTATTAAATTTCTTGTTTCACTTTAACAATATAAAGAATCGATCTGCTTTTAGCATATTGTTTTTTAGGAATTTGTTCGTGGCAAACCTTATCAAATGCTTGGACAGTGTTCTTGATTGAACCTAAGCGAACTAGATGCTTATCTTTTAATTGATTAACCTTATCAAATGCTTGAGCAGTGTTCTTGATTGAACTCGACTGAACTAGATGCTTATCTTTAAAAATGAGCAACACACCACATGCTTGTCTCTTTTAATTAATTAACTTTATCAAATGCTTAGGCAATGTTCTTGATTGAACTTGAGTGAACTAGATTCTTATCTTTAAAAATGTTGAACAGACACACGCTTCTCTCTTTTAATTGATTAACCTTATCAAATGCTTGGGCAGTGTTCTTGATTGAATTTGAGTGAACTAGATGCTTATCTTTAAAAATATGGAATACACCGCACGCTTCTCTCTTTTAATTAATTGAGGATGATCATACCTACCTACTACTGTCCGTTCTGTGGAATGCCCTTCTAAAGTGGGTTTCAACTGCTACTCAGGAACCATCCAATTCTATAGTTTCTTATAAACTGCTATACATATATCATTTAAAAACGTTATGAAAATTCTATCGAATCTTATTTTTTTCGGATTGAAATACAACTAATTATAAATAGTGTCCTGAGTTGACGTTGTTTCCTTCTTCTTTTAGATCTTCGTTACACACGTAAGGATTCTTTCCTCTTACAGGGAGACGAGATGGGCTATAATTTGTAGAAACTTGTATAATGTGTGATTTTAGTGATGAACTGCCTGATAACTTGTTTTGAAATGTTGAAATTAAAATAATTACTTCTGCTAACTGGTTTATAAACTTTGCATTGTATTACATAACAATTTGACATATTTTTACTAGTGTTTAAATTTTCTAACGAAACAGGTTTGAAACATCTCTATTTATAATTTCAATGAGAAGTGAAGTGTACGAAAAACAAAAGGTGTTCTGTGTTGGAGGTTGAAATAGGTCTCATTGAGTTGAGCTACTGTTGTGATTGGTCTAGGGAACGAATCATATGTTTGGACACTGTCTTGTGGTTGGTTATTGAGAACGTGGCTCGAGAGTTTACCAGATCAGTACAGACAGAGATAGAGTGAATGTTGTTACTATTAAATAGACATATATATTTGTTTTTAACAATTTATTATACATATACTCAAACAAGTTGGTACTTGTATTTAAATTACTCACAATTTTCCATGAGTGAGAAAACTATATTCTGTGCGCGTAAATAATAGTAAATATGTTGCAGGTGTGCTAAGAATGTTTTTATTGGAACTTGAAATCCGTTAAACTGCATTCTTGGTCTCTGCCAGGGTTGGCGTTGATTTGCGAGATTTTTAAATTCGGTAATGCAATGTATAGATTGAATAATAAAATATATTGTTGTTCTTATGTTAACTATACATTATTTATACGGGGGGTGGGGATCATACAGAGAGTAACTGAAGTACCTGTTAAAAATAATCGTCATTTTTGAAAATAAGGAAAGAAAACTCTAAATATATATGTTAAATTTTATTGTAAATAAATCCGTTAACGACACCAAACAATCTGAGTATATATCCGAACAGTCTCCGTAATTTTTTCCAATTTTTTCAGCTAGTAGTAACTTTTCTGAAAAGTTTCTTTTTCGACTCGTACTATTTGAAGCTTTCCTTGTATGTCTGAGATCTAAAGATGGTCTGTAATAGAAAAAGGTAGATTAAAACAATTTTTTTAGTGATTTTTTTTAGGCTCTCATCGGTAGGCCATGAAATAAATCAATCATATCAGAACCTACACCAGATCGGTGCTTTTAGACTCGCAGCTCGTATTTGTCTGTCAAGGGCATCTGAAGAGAAGGGACTTGCATAAAATATGGATGGATCTACAAAAAAATATTACGAAAAGAAGGTTTTTGAAAAATTCACCTAGATATGTCTTAGCTTACAAATCTTCTTTTTTAGTATTAGTTTGGATTTCATTTAGAGCCGAATGTAGTTATAACGCATATGACTCCTATTTCTGTTTTTGTCGGTCATGGCCTACTTTAGAAACCTTTTTTGTGGGTATCTTTATTACGTATTTATTTACAAAAATTTATTGAAGAAAGACTGAAAATTTTTATTTCAACTCCTTGCAACTCTATTCTGAGTAATGGACTACTTTAAAAATTGTAAGCTACCTCTGGTAACAATACAAAATGAATTATATATTTTTTTAAACTTACGTGAAAATAAAGTGTACTAATTTTTCCAATAAAGTTTCATCATGTTTTATATGTAAAGGTGTCTCTGATATTTCACAAATGGATCTTAGTAGGCATTGTTCTCCGTCTAGTCCAAAACTAAAACAAATGAAAATAAATTGTATAACTGCAAAAAAAACCGTTACATTTTATCTAGTTTTAATCGAATTACCAGGCATTTTTTCAACTAAATAAGTCTATAAACTATTCTGCGAAATGAAGAATTAATTCTAAATATGATTTTAAAAAAAAATGTAATAAAATTAAACTAAAAATATGCATTTTACCAACTTTTGTTACTTTGAATTTTTATGGGGTTTTGTCAACGATGAAAAACTACTAGACTAAGCCATTCATTTATAATTGCAATTCTTCAGATTGTATTTATTATTACGCAAACAAAGCTATCGCATCGGCTGCCTCATTAGAAAGAAGAAGGAATCGGATAATTAGAGTAGGGATGGTTTGTGTGAGTATATTTATGTAAGGAGCAAGCATGCGTTTTATGAATCAGTATTTACGTCACACTTCAAAATTAATTGCGTACTTTCCTAAAAAAATCTATTCAACTTTAATAGTGGCAACGAGAAAAAAATACATAATAGCTGGCATTAAGAATGCAAATATACTTTCCTAATAAAATTTTGAAATCTTTCTATTTGCTTTAGAGCCTTAGTCAATACCGAATTATAACCATAAACAATCCTTGTAACAACTCTCTCCCATACTCTCTTATAATAATTTGACTACTACGTAGCTGACACCGTAAATGTTTGCAATTATTCAATTTTTGTAAACAATATTAGTCTAGTAGTTGTTCATTGTTCAGTTATTTTTTTAAATACGTGAAGTATTCCTGGCTCCAATATAGTATATCATAATGCGAGTTTGCAGATATTTTGTTGTTTTCTTTTGTCATTATTTCTGTTAATCAGTTCTATTAAAACATTTTCCTTCTCTACAATATTATCTATTGTATCAGATGTGATATAAAACTATACTTCTTCAACTATTGTTGATTAAGAAATGAGGTAAATTTTATTATTTGATATTTCTGATAACACAAAGTAATCATTTCCGTATCATAGTAATAGTATGTGTATATGTCTAACAACACATATTATTTGTGATCTCTTAAAAATTTGTTGAAAATGGCGGCAAATCTATGAATTTAAGTAAAATAGTAGTTTCTGAAACAAGATTGGATATGATGGCCATATCGCACGAAGACGAGGTTGGAGCACGACGCCGTAGGTTTGGAAATTTCTACAAGAACGGTTCTAGCAGGGATCGACATATGAGTCATTAAGGGGTCAAAGGTTTCTTTTAAACACTTTAGTAACCTATGACCGCTACCAAAGTACGACTCATTAACAGCACTAAATACCTCCAGGTATTGGTGTCCCAATAATTGACTCCCTCTAATAGAATTATCTGAAAAATATGTTACTTTATTTGCTTTAGTTACTGCGCAAAGATTGTAAACCTTTAGCTTTATTATATTGTAGAATATTTCTAGATCTCTAGATGCTTTCTCAATAGAAATTCCTGGTAAGATCAAGTCATCCGATAGAAACAGATTCCAACTATGTTTAACTCTCCCTATCTTTGACGAAGATCCTAATATTTGCCTTGGGAGAACATTAAAAATATACATAGAGCAAACTAAAATCGTTAGAGAAGAATCTGCATAAAACCTTTTTGTATCTTATAAAAACCTTTTAACTCAGTCTCCGATCAAAACTTAAGTTGTTGGGTAAAGCAGACACTAAAAAAATGCGGGGTTGGTACGGACATTTTTCATGCTCACAGTACGCGACATGCTGCGACGTCAGCAGCGTTAAATAAAGAAGTACTATAATATACTAAACTTAGATATCATAAGGTCCACAGCAGGTTAGTCAAGTGAATCTTCTTGTTTTGCTAACTTTTATTACCGGTCTATAAGGCGGGATCCTACTTCTTTTGCTGAGACCATTCTAATTTAGTTTATTGTGTATTAAACTTTCGTTCAAAACAAAGACGGCTCCGGGAGGGAGGACATAGGGGCCTTGAACCCCCTCCCGAAATATTTTGTTTATAAAATTTATGAGCCTTTTATTAAAAAAAAATATGCTAGAAAGGGAATTTTTATTAAAATTTATATTATTGGTGTCATTTACTGTCAACCTAAACAGCCGATTTTATTTAAAAATAACTATCTTTCATTTACTGCATATAAAAATAAGCAAGTGCCAAAGTAATTTTATCGCTCTAGCGCGCCAATAATTTCAAATTATGACAAATCGCACTTTGAATAGTGATCGTAGAAAAAATTGAGTTATGCAAGCTTCCGTTTGAAAATATCATGCTGACTAATAATATCGATTCAAAAGTAAATATATTCAAAACAGTAATCTTGCAAATATTTGACACTTTCTCTCCAATTCTCGAATAATTTTCGAATAAGAAGTCCAATCCCTGAATAATGGATAATATAAAATTTAAGGTTCATGATAATGCTCAAAGACGTTTTAAGCGGACTAAGAGAAAAACACATTAGGAATATAAACTTCTATGGAATTCTACTAATAGAGCTGTAAACAAAAGAATGAAAAAAAAAACATATCCGCTAAACACTAGCTAATAAACGATCAGCTAAATTGTTCCAACTTAATCCTCTAACAGGAATATTTTTGTTTGAACTCATAATTTTATATAGGGGTAAATTCAAGGCACTGATCACGAAAATGAAGTCTATTTTGCGATGAGTAAAGTGGTTTGATCTCCAGGTGCAAAAATAGGTAGGCCGACAAAAGGCGGGTATTCCGTTAAAGCTGAAGTTTCGTAAATAGGGTGGAATACATAGGTATTATAAGGAAAATAGGATGAAAGGTAATAATATTAGAATAACAATAAAAAAAGGAGAGGTATAAAAATTTTTACTTAGGTAGAAAAAAATCAATAATTGTGGTATGTATGTCAGCATTTTCTATTTGAAGTTAGACACAAATTTATTTTGCACTTCATGCAGAAAACCTATGTCTCAGATTTACAACCAGGCAACTTGATCTGGGCGATGACCAATGTCATCGAATAGAGCATCCTCTGGAATGTCATATGTGCAACGAACACCAGGTGATTGTTTCGCTGCTTTTTTAGTGACCTGAGATGGTCGACCAACTGGTTTCCTGTCTGGAAGTGTCTGACTCATCATCAACGACCAAGCAACTTCGGTTCTGAAAGTCGCCAGGTCAGGATAATCTGGTCGACCTGCATGAATGCGTCGATACAGAAGATTAGGCATTTGTCAACGACATATCCAACATATGATAAAATAACATTAAAAAGGCACTTTTTGTCTTCAAACGAATGTGGTACCGACCCATTAGACCATCCATCAGGTCAACACCACTCATGTGATGATTGTATTCTCGAATGATTCGAGGACAGTTAATTTCACCGTAGGTCTTTTCGGTTCGAGAGTAACGGGCGACTTTTTCTGGTTGATTATTCGGATTCGCAGAACGAAAAGGTTTCACTCCTACATACGTCGAGGCAAGACGTACAGCTTTATTGTCTTTCCAGATAACGGTCGACACCTCAACACCATGAATATCAGCTGTAAATTCTTCAGAGAAGCCTCGTGGTTTATCTTTCCTTGCCTTGCTGCTCTCGGAGATCATCTTGTTGTTAGGAATCCGATTGGATCTACTTGTTCCCAAAAAATAAATGCCACGGCTTTTCAATTTCACTATAACATTTCCAGTTGCTCCTAAATATGGTTTATCAGGGAGTATTACATTGTCATTTTTACCACAACAAATTTCAAAATGATAAGAATAACCTGTTGAATCACACAATACAAAGAGCTTCATCCCCCATTTGTGGGGTTTGTTCGGCATATACTAACGAAAACTGCTGACCATTTTTGTAGAGCACATTTGTTCATCAATATAGAGCCCAGGCAATTTAGGAACATCATCAAATTTATCATTCAAATAGTTAGCCACTTTCCGAATTTTCTCACCTGAATTTGAGCAGCTTCTACAGGATTCGATTGACAGGGCTCAATTGAAGGTGATATTGACACAGCTGATGGCAAACTCAAGTCGCTCATTTTGAAACTAATGTTGATTCCGTCTTCTTGTGAGCTTTGCCAGTCTTGATCTTTGACACTGTCATTATGATCGTCATCGAAATCAGCATCATCTTCACCATATTCTTTGGATTCTGGGTCTGATATACTGTCCAGTAAGTCAAAGATCTGCTCATCAGTTAAATTTGAAAAATTCAATCGTATTTTTCGAACATCAATGGAAGGAACAACTTTATTTATTGGCTTTTCTTGTTTTGAAGGAATTTCTGTACAAAAAAACACTGACATATATGCACTAATTCACACTTTATTTATCCATTATTCCATTTGCTATGAATAAAAATCGTTTAAATACGATAAAACACGGATAAATAAAGAAACAGATGAAAATAAACAACGAAGTATCAATTACAGGTGAATTCATTTGTGCGTAAAAACTTAGCGTACACGGGAATACCCGACAAAAGGCAGGCCCCTAATATTTCAATCAAATCACTATTTCTAATTTAAAAACCACAAAACCTATTTAATATTATGAAAGTATATAATAAATACAACTTACCAATATTTTTTTATTCCGGTAGCACTAAGAGAAATATTTTATTTAATTTCACAAAAAATGTCAATTTTCAACCCTTATTTTTACGTATGCACTCACAAGCAGATGAACTTTACTTGGCGACAGACCCAAAACGAGAAACGGTACAAATCTCAAATTTATTACACCAAGTAAATTGAGAACTAACAAATATCTTTTTATCCCGTTTCGGCGAAAAAAATTGTTACCAGATGTGAACAAGTGAATTACCCGAAGCCCGCCTTTTGTCGGACATTCCGGCTAGAGGGTTAAACCAGTCCAAAAATTACATTCTCCTTAGTAAGCAAAATCAAAGGTAGAGTGTTGAAATTAAATCTCTATCTCTGCTGTCTTTTCTTTGGATATAATTCAATACCTCTTGCGGTATTAGCCAAATGAGTAGTTGTTTTCCGAAGAGAAACGGTCGCTCGCATTGTGTGTTACATTGAGCTTTGTTTTATTTATTTTATTTTATGTTATACAAAAAATCACAATGTTTATTGTAGAAAAAGTAACAATAATATCCCGGAAGATCTAAGCGATGTAGATGCCGCAGAGGCTAAGCAGCGAGATTAGTGAGCATCCACATACTCGCAACAGTTAAGCAGTGGTGACCTCTCCGGATGGGTTTGTAAAACAAGTAAACCAAGTCACAAAAAATATAAATAATATGTCAATAAATACATCTTATCTAATCGTACGTTAGGTAAATCACTCATATTGTCTCATATCCTTTGTTGGAATTCGGTATATGGACCTTCACCCAATATGATTGTCAACGCATTCAAAATATTTAAATGAAGCATGAACTTATATATAAATTGTAATCGCAGTCAATCAAAATAACATATTTATGCACCGCATTAAATTACTAATATTAAAGTGTCACACTTTACGATAAGTAACAGTTTTTATCCAGGTGGAAGGGGCTAAATTAAAAGTAACTTAATTACAATTTTACTGGGTACTAAATTGTATTTGTTAGACCGAGTCGTAGAAAAAATATACTATACAACTCGTGTGGAGTTTCCGTATCGTACTCAGGCGATTGAGCTACTTCCTATACGTGCGATATGGGCATTAAATCCATTCTTGTTTCACAAACTACAATTTTCAGTTCCATACATCTGATTCATTTATATTATTAATGGTTTCCTTACCCTCAGTGCAATTACACGAATGACAACCAGTTGTTATATTTTATTATCTATAAATAAACTTTTCTACAGTTCTTACCTGTCTAAAAATGTCATGATATATTTGTAAACCGTTCTTCGCCCCATATAAAAAAATGACGTTTTATCCCTAGCCGCAATAGTTTGGGGAGTTAAATTTGACACGTTCCAGGGTAAAAAATAATTTGCTTGACCTACCAAACTCAAATTAATAGATCGCCTTGGTAATACTAAAGGTACTGTAAGTCCCGTACTGCACTGAAAAAAAAAACCCATTATAACTGTTAATAAAACTAATGTATAAGAAAGTACTTATTTTGAAACATGAATATGCTTTCTATATAGAAATAAAAGGCATGATTCTAATATAGTTAGAGTATTGTTAATATTGAAGCTGGATAGGTAAATCAAATCAATAACTCCTTTCCATTAAAAACTATATAACTACACATCTTATTGTAATGAACTACAAGTTCTTGTGGAATTTGGACTAATAAATAATGTAACACAACAATGTTTTAAGTAATTCTACAAAGAATTGTAGTTTTCAACTAAAGAGAACTGCAACCTGAAGAGCTTCAACTACAAGCTATGTCAAAAAGTTGTTCTTTAAATTCAATAGCCAACACGTATATAAAACGTGAACAATATTTAACAGGTTCAGTGCCTACGTCTAATTAACTATAAGCAAGAGTTTCTAGTGAGAGTCAACATCCAGTTAACTTAAATATTAAATACTCATCCTCCTATAAACGGTGATCTATGACGATATATTGTAGGTTTCAAAGTGAACCCTGGGCAAAAATTTGCTTGGATTTGAATTGAAAATGTTTTCCATATCTTAAATTGTTGACTTTGAGTTCTACGATAAGCGCAAAATAGTTACTAATACAGTTACTACCGGGGAGTAGATAGCACACATCCAGATAGGGCAGGACACCATCTTCATCTGCACAACCAGAGGATGTCCATAAGGATAAATTATATGCTTACTAATGTGGAGCCTAACCGTAAACAATTTCAATGAAGATTGACTGACCTCTGCATACCCTATCAAGGCTATGCCGATGACATAGTCATATTTGTTAGAGCAAGTTTGGAAATATTTTGTGTTATATAGTCCAAAGAGGACTAGAATACACCAAAAGTTGGTGCCCTGAGGTGAGACTTAGTAAAAACCCCACTAAAACAATACTAACAGCCTTTTCAAGCAAATTTTATCTCAAATTAGACGGGACAGATATAGAATAGAAAAAAGAAGTCAAATATTTAGGCCTAATCCTGGACAACAAATTTCTCTTGAACATACATGAGAAGAAAGTAGTAAATACAGCCACAAAAGCCCTAATGGTAAAAGATGACCCGAACACACTGCGATGGATGAATACAGTAATAGTAAGACCAATCATCACTTACGGAGCTGTAGCCTGGAGTAACAGAACTAGTTTAGCTACTACGAGAGCTAATATCTCAAAAGAACAAAAACTAGCCTGTTTTCATTGCCGGAGCGGTGAGAACCTGGTCTACGGCCGCGATGGAGGTGATCTGAAACCTCGCCTCTCTACATTTAATAATAGAGAACGTGGCAAAAAGGATCAGCAACGGAGTAATCAGACGAAAGTCAATTAGCTTTAGGACCGAAGATACTTGGGATATGATCCAGGAAGAAATGAGAAAGAAGTACAATTTTATGAAAAACCTCAGAGTTTATACTGTCGCTCCTCGTGGCACCATCTTTTGGTGTGTTCTAGTCCTCTTTTCACAGGACATTTCCAAACTTGCCTTTAGAAAATATGACTCTTTAGAATAATCCTGACAGGGTATGCCGTGGTTAGTCAGTCATTATAGAAGTTCGTCTACGGTTAGGCTTCATATTAGCAGGGATATAACTCCTCCTTGTGGACATCCTCTCGATGTGCAGATGAACATGGTGTTCTGCCTTGTCTGTGTCTCTTCATCTAGTAGATAGCATCTGAGTCATTCATCTGGAGGAGTAACCATTGTACGCTTATCGTAGAACCCAAAGTCAACATTTTAGATATGAAAAACATTTTCGATGCAAATCTGGTTGCAAGAAAGAATTGAGCCAAGAATCCATCGTGCTTATAACCAACAGCATGCTATTTAGCAGTATACGGATGGTTCCAAAACCATAGAAGAACCTGGAATAGAAGTGTATGGATCTTCCACGCGGAAATTCATTCCATTGAGAAGTGTATCCAGTTTAACATCGAGAGAAACTATCGCATACAAGAGATTATCGTCATGTCCGATAAACAAGCAGCCATCAAATCACTGAACTCTTACGTATTCGCCTTAAAAATGGTCTGGAGATGCCTAGAAAAACAAAGCTAGGCGAGGAAAATACAGTTACTTTCACTTGTGACCCAGGGGTAAAGAGTAACGATATTACAAGGAAAGGGGCCTAAACACCCTTTGTGGGACCTAAGCAGTCCTGCAGTATCAGCAGTAACACAATATTAGGAGAGATTAAAAAAGATTTGGATAGTAGAAGAACCGATAATTGGGACAATATCTTAAGGCTAAGACAGGCTAAGATACTTCTAGGTAAATCTAATCTAAAAAGATTGGAAGCCTGGATCTGTCTGAGCAAGAACAGGCTACGCATTGTAACAGGGATCTTTAGCGGGTATTGCTGAATCAAAGTAAACTAAGTGTTTCTAGGTGATAGTGGAGTGCAGATTATGTAAGGAGAAGAAAACTCCATTTTGAATATGTAGCAATTCGAATCCATGGGGAGTATACTTAGGAGCACATGAAATAGAAATGGGCGATCTACCCAACTTGAAGCCACTCCAAATTCTACACTTACTTGAGAAGATAAGATCGGACATAACATACTGTCGGCTTTTGTGCAGACAGTGCTCTGACACAGTGAGTACTGAACCTGTTAATACCCTGAAACTAATTTTTAATGGTGACAATGAGACTCTAGTGCCTTGTTAATATCTCTTTTATTTATTAAGCGATTTTGATCAAATTTAAAATGAACATACTAGACATGATTTAGAATTTACACTTATTCGTAAACAAAATGGTCAACTTCTGATGAGTTTACCGAAAATGTCATTAAGTTTTGATTTTTAAATGCATCACCCTGTATATTTTATCTTTTTTATTGGAATCCACGGGTCAAATTACGTAAGACAGTGTTGCCAAATGTTCATTTACACAAATTATTTTGTTTGATATAGAAGACCATGAACTGGAAAATAATGTTTTAAGTAGTGCAAGGTACATGTCAAATTGCTTATAAAATTTTCTATCAATTGAGAAAATGGCCGTCAATAATAGATGCCATTAAAAAAAATTATTTTGATAAAAAACACGTGTTAGAAATTTATTTTTTATCTGAAAATTTTATTTTTAATTCAATTTGTAAAAAAGCTTTTGTTTCGAGTTATTCGAAGCTATTAGAACATTATTTTCCAGTTCATGTCCTTCTACCTTAAAATGTTTGTTTTGCTTTCAATAGTGTTTAGGAAAAAAGAAAATTGGGAAAAACTGTCATATTATGTAATTTAAACCATAGATTTCAAAAACATCAAATGTACAGTGTGGTCCATTTATAAAAATCAAATCTACTGGCATTTCAGGTAAAACCATATTGTTTAAGTATAAGTATTAATTCGAAATTTTCTAGTAGGTTTGTCCCAAATTTGATCCCAATCGCTTCATAAATGAAAGAGATAACGTGGCCCTAGTCGCAATGTTGCCACTTATAACATTATTATGGAATTGTAACATAATTTTTCCTTAAAATTAAGTTAATCTATAATTGTAACATATTTTTTAAACTAGGGATTTTTTTAACTTCGCAGGTTTTATTCTTATTGCACAAAACCAATTTAACAAACAAATTAAAATATTTTTTTTATCAGTGCTGCCCTCTCTTGGCAAATAAAAAAACTACATTACAATAAAAGTCAAAGAACCATCTGTATAAATATTTTGCTTCACGGAGCGGGGAATCCCTCTGACTACACGGGTAAATCCGAAAAACATTGAACTTATCACCTTATGTAAGAAATTGATAATCAGTGGCAACTATATTGCCAATTTGCCAGGTCTGTGATTGCCAGTCAGAATTAAATGAAACACTAATTATTAATTGACAAATCCTGGAACAAAATTTAAAAATCGAGACTTATATAAACACGACGAATATGGAAATGTCGATGTTCATTTTGACACCGAATAATTTTGGTTTAGATTTAAGTTTTTGTGTTATTTTTTGTTATTTGATTTTTTATGGGATTATAAATAAATAAAAATAAGCATGACGTGTTTTTTTTCCAAAACAACAAAATAAAGAAAATTGTAACATAATTTTCAAGAAAAATCGATAATTTTGGCAACATTGCATCGGATGGTGGCAACACTGCTGGTCGTTTCATTATTATTGCCCGGTATATTCCCATTGCACTCGTGCTTTAAGTTTGTCAGGGCATGGTGACAGTAACACAATGTATTTCATTTAAAAAATAATAATTTGTTACTGATCCAACAAAATTTAACAAACAAAATTGTTTTATTTTTATCTAAAAATAAACACCCAGCTTTTAAACGATACCTATCCTATCCTTAAATTTATTTTAAATCAAATTGTATTAATATATAAAATGATTTATTTATTTATATTGTTATCTCATGTTGATTCTACTATTTTATTTATTTATTCGAAACTTACCTGCATTTGTGTGTACCTAGGAAAGAGTAAATATCTCTTCGAAAGTTTATGCTGTGCATCGGTTGATATGCTTAAAACTATAAAAACCAAAACTACTGCACATTTCGAAACCATTCTGATTTTGTTTATTTATAATTTATATTCTCAGTCTCAAACACTCTACAAATCTATTGAATAATTCAAACAATATTGAACACAAAACGGAATCCAGTGTTCATGTACACGTTTCTAATTATTACACATTTGCTAAATATCGTGATTAACAAGAATCGTTCGTCAATGTTTGGTCGTGTGTTGGGTACAGTAAAAATAACAGTATTGGAAATTCGTATGTTTGTGTAATCTGAACAGTACTTTTTTTGTTTATTTAAACAATACGGCATCGATACATTTATTCTGAATATACTTTTATGATAATTACACAGCCCCACAAAAAAAAAAGTGTTCAGACTTGGCGGTCGGACATATGTATTCCCATGTATTTTTCGACGCTGAATCCGATCCCGAGCTCAGAAATGGTCCTCCACGTCTGGAATTGGCCCCAGGGGCCAAAAATGGCTTCTATATGGCCTGAAAGGTGGATTCTGAGATGAGGCGTGGTTGAAGGTGCATTCTAAAGCCAAAGTCAGGTTTGTGGTCAAAAAGTTCACGGACAATTGGAATTCCTCGTGCGGGCCGGGAAAATGGCCCGGTAGGGGCCGGAAAATCGTTTTTCGGACGTCGCAATGGCATCAGTGGTATTTTTATGTACATTTGAATTCTGGAATGAATACCGTGCTCGAAAAGTTTATGGCCAATTGAAATTTCACGTTTGGGACCGGGAAAATGGCCCCCCAGGGGCCGGAAAATCGTGTTTCGAACGTTGCAATCGCTAAAGTGGTATTTTTATGTCCTTATCTATGTCCTAGTTCGCGAACTTAGACTGTGCTCGAAAAGTTTATGGCCAACTGGAATTCCCCCTTTGGGACCGGGAAAACGACCCCTTAAGGGCCGGAAAGTCGTATTTGGGACGTAGTAATCGAGTGGTATTCTCATGAAAATTGAGTGAAGCCAATATTATTTTACTCTGCAAATAGATTTGACGTCGAGAAGGTTTCATCACGCTCGGTTACGGCCTTAATACAAGTATTACTCCTATGTGATAGTTTTCCCTCTAAAAGATCCCGAATGCCCCATACACCGATTCTAATGCGTCTATCCTTTACTCATGTATTCCTCTACACTCGATTGTCAAGTATAAAGAGTAGTTTAAACGATACACTATAAAGTCCCCGACTTTACTTCCTCATACGGAAGTATATACATACAGTGAGGTATACGGGCATCTCTAATAAGACACAGTAGTCTCGATTGTGTTCGATGACGTTCAGGCCGGAGTTCCGGTACACCAGGTCTCCTGAGGTACGTTTTCATGATGGAATTTGGATTCCGCGTGCCCAGAAACCCCCATGTCGATTTTCGGCATGTCTTTAACGATTGGGTCTGGAGAACCCTCGGAGAAACGTTTCGGTGCATTAAGTGTTCGGGGATCGTTTTCGATATGAAATTTAGATCAAAAGCCCCAAAAAATGCACATACAAGGTTTTTCGGCTTATTTTTGGCAATCTTGGCAAGAAACTTCTCGGAGATGACGTCCACGTGCTGGTTCCAGCGCACCAGGTATCCAGGGGGTGTTCGTCGATGTTATATTTGAATTCAGCAACCCAAAAAACCTCAGAGCGCCGAGTTTCTCTCCTTGCCCGCGTGAATTTCGGGATAGTCCCCGTAGATAACGTTCATCGGCGTTTCTGAGCTCCAGGTCGGATGTGGTTCAATTTGAACATCATAATCGTGATCAGCGACTTCGAAAACCCTCAGGAACTCGATTTGGGTCAGTCCTGACTCTTCCACCTTTTAGGCCATATAGAGGCCATTTTTGGCCTCTGGGGCCAATTCCAGACATGGAGGGCCATTTCTGAGCTCGGGATCGGATTCAGCGTCGAAAAATACAAGGGAATACATATGTCCGACCGGCAAGTCTGAACACTTTTTTTGTAGGGCTGTGTTATTAGTGAGAAAACATATTTTGTTGGTGAAGCCAAATTTACTGTAAAGGATTTGGATTGAGGATCAAGTTAACAATGCTATTGAAATAGTACTAGAAATCTACTTAAGGTACGTTTACATCTGACATTTATTGCATGAGATTTATGTCTGACAGTTGTTTAGTCCAGTGTAAACACTAAAAAATATATCTCCGAGACAAGACATCATTTGAACGGTAATTTTATAGAGAATTTAGATATATGACTATTCATTGCGTTACTTTTGATTTTAGCGCCCTCTAGCGGGATAACAAACATATTGTAAAGTGTGATTCTTCATTTGAAAGGTATTTTATGGTAGCTTAAATTTGTTATTTTAGTTAATTGTGATCAAAGTTTGTATTTATTAACGTTAGAGATCTGTACGATTTTTAAATTAATTTCATGTTTCATTAAATTATGTTTTGTTATATTGTGCATTAAATTACTATTAAAACTAGCTTTCAAATGAAGTGTACGATAGAAGGCGTTAAAATCAAAAGTAACACAATGAATAGTCATATTGCTGAATTCTCCATAAAATTTCTTTCTTTCAAATGATGTGTTACTTGACCAAACTGCTATTAAAAAAAAAATAGAGAGTTGTTGCCAGGCTCCAGGTAGTTGAATTTCTGGGTAAGAATTGTATATGACAATTCGTCTCCTTGCTAATAAAAGATAGTGTTTTTTGTTTCTTTTAAATTTACGTAAAATTAAAAATTATTTTGACTGGGAGGTTTTAAAATGAAAGCAGTGAAAAACTTCTTGAATTTATCAAAAATCTTAAACCATTTTTATCGTTAAGAAATTAATGAATGAATTCCGTGAATGTCTTTATAAATTTCAAACCTTTTGAATCTTTACATATATTATAACTTGTTTGTTATAACTGTTTAACTGTAATACAATTTTAAAAATAATACAAATCGAATGGCATTTCTTTTGAAACCCATCTGTTCTTAAAAAACCAAATTTTGGAGAAAATGGTGACTCAAACGTCAATTCACTAACCGCTATATTGTTACGATTACTATTAAGTCGAATATCAATCTGTCACAAAAGTGACGTAAATCTCGGCCGTGGTCCAAACGTAACCAAGAAATTCGATTTTTTTAAGGAACCGCTGTCAAAAAATCCAGGTTACTTGCAGTTAGTAACTAGTATTTTGTGACAGCGGTTCCTGAAAAACACTAATTTATTGGTTACGGCCGAGATTTTCGTCACTTTTGTGACAGATTGACATTTGACTTAATAGTAACCGTTAATTGACGTTTGAGTCACTATTTTCAGGTATCCGCGTCCCTAATTTAACAGATTTTTCAGGAATGTCAAGCAGAGCGGTTAGTTTTGGACCGAGTAACCAATATTTCGGTTAATTACGGACCATATCCTTAATGTTTTGCAACTTGTCAACTGTCATCTGCCATATAACTTTTCACAGACGCCACCTGTCAACGTCATTCTGAGAGAAATACTACCAAATTTCGCATCAAGATGTTATAATTTCTTCCATTAAGCCAATACTTTATTTTCCATCCAAGATGGCCGCCATAAGAAACAACAAAGTTACGATAGGTAATTATTCGACAAAAATATTTTTTATTAAGAAGTGTCCTAAGAAGTTGTCAAATCAACGGTTATAACGCAATTTAACTCAAAACTACGTAATTTTTAATAATTTGAAAATGAATTAAGGATCAGCATCAAATTCGCTAAAACATTCCCCATTTAACGGACCCTCTGTCTCTTACATTCAACTAGAATTTTGAACACACCATACAGGGTGTTTCCGAACTTGGCGTCCAAATTTGTAGGGGTGGTAGTTCGCATAATTTGAGAGCGATTGGCAGATTTAATTTTTCTAAAAAAATTATAATAAACAAAATAGAGCCATTATAAAAAAAATCAAAAAGCGGGTCCTACCCTGAGCGCGTAGCGCAATAGTCGCCTAATCGGTTACTCATCGGGATTTACACCTCAAAAACAGATGCGATTTGCAAATTTCTCCCTCCGCCCGGCCGGTATCGAAAGACATAGCCGATTGTTTTTCTAGTGCAATGTTAGCGCGCGCGAGTCGAGGCCATCCCATCGCTGTGCAGGACCGTACCTGTTTAAAATTTTTAATTAATTCTTAATTAATTTTTAATTATTTTTATTTTAAATATTTTGGAAAAATGAAATCTGCGAATCGGTCTCAAATTATGCGAACTACCACCCCTACAAATTTGGACGCCAAGTTCGGAAACACCCTGTATACAATGAATTGAATAAGGTATAAAAGGACCATTCACAGAACAAACATAGACTGCTGTTGGCGAGAAACTAGAAGACTTCTCTCTTAACTATTGGGACAGGGCAGGTTATTTGGACCAAAATATGGCGATAGTGCCAAATATACCTCAATTAAATATTGCTGTGGAATAAAATACAGGGCGTTAAATACTAATAATAATAAGAAGAAATGACATGTACCTGACACTGCAAAGCACACTTTTCATGATTGAACTATTTTTCTAAATCCCTATCTGAGACTTGTAGCTGTTCAATTGCGTTTTTCTCGAGCACGGGTGAAATTATCGTGTTTTAAAATACTAAAAAGTTTCGTCAAAAAAATCTACCACTTTATTTCATCATGCCTTTGTGCCGATTTTAATAACAATTCATAAATATACAGTGACATTATCATATTTTTGTCCAAATAATCTGCAATTAGCCTATGTCCCAATAGTTATGAATCACCCTGTATATACAGATACAAATTAAGGCACGACGAGCGCTATCGGCGTCTGTCTGTTATGTGCATGTTCCAGTTATAATTCACTGTAAGATGTAACCCCGTTTTAAAATTCACCAACACTCACTCATGCACATATAAACCCTTTTACAAGCATCAAAATCATCAGCTATTTTAATAATCTCAGTAGGTAGTATCATATCAGATAGTGAATTAATAATTAACATCATCCACAAACAGGTCTCGTCTTAAATGGGTGACATGCTAGGAGATGGGACTAAGGTTATGAGATCTAGGGGTTCTGGAGACGGACTAGGGTGATAGCAGAAGGTTCAAAGGGTTGATGGTCTACTCCTACTTCAGTCCATTCTTAGTCTCTATTATTACAGCCTCTATGCCCACTTGTCACCAGTAAGTTTCGTTATATAAAACACCAATCTCTCAATAGCATTGGAATACATTTCTATAAAAAAATATATAAACATCAAATCGTTTGAAAATTATTTTGTGTGTGGACTGGTCTATATAAATATAAAATTTATTTTTTCCTACGACCACTTAGAAAAGCGACACCTATCGCACTATTTAGTCTTATGGAAAGTGCCCTTTATCACACGCATGCAGATAAATCTACTTTCCACCCGTGTGTGAATATGAATCTACTTTTCGCATAAGCTGTCAACTAGGTCAGACGTCTAATTTCTATTTTGATTGATGTAATATCCATTTTAATATAAAAATCAATTTGATGATTAAATTTCTAACATTAATTTTTAAATATAAATCTTAGATATTTCTTTTTAAATAATTATTAAAATAATTTTAAAGTAACTACCTACAATATATTTGCTTTTTGCTGGTTCATATACATATTTAATTAATCAGATGAGTCAAATGATATAACCGTGATAGCGCAGATTGTATGGTGTCTAACTTTTTCAGCTTGGCATTTCGCGACCGTTTCGTGACGCTGGTTCAATTCTAGATGAATTATGTTTTTTTTATTTTTTTTGTTCATTTTTAAAAAAATATGAAAATTAGTAAAATACGACTATTGTTGTCTATTTATTTTAAATATATGTTATTTATCATAATATAACTACTACAGTTAATGTTTTGTACTATTTTAATAATTACGGTTCAGAAAAAAGTCCGCGGTCGTAGAAAAAATTTTGTACATCACTTGTATGTGATTTTTCACACTCAAAGTGTCATATCATTACTTAGTACTCAAAAAGTGGAAAGAACAGGCATACAGTAAAAAATAAAACGTTAAAATGTGTTTATTTGTTTTACATAAATAAGGGTGTATAATTTAATAAATATGACTATAAACGAAGAACACTAAGGTCCATAGAATTCTTAAAGCTAAAAATCCCAGTACTGCTTTTGTTATTTGATGGGCCCAGTATAACCTAAAATAAAAAAAGTATTATTACATTTAATGAATATTTATTAAAAATAAACCATAAGTGGAATTATTTTCTCTTTGTGTTATACAGGGTGTTTATTAATTAACTACCGATACTTAAGGGTGTTAAGATATGTCGTAAACCTTTTAATTTGTGATTTATAGGGTGTTACTGTTTAAATAAAAATTAACATTTTATCATAATGCTCTTTCCTGGTGGAAGTAGAAAATTAATTTTTGACCCAAAAAAAGTGTTTCCATCCATGGTGGGTGCCTACCAAACAAAATATCAAAAGCAGTTTTTATGAACTTAATAAAAAACATGTTTTGGTTTTTATTTTTTACATCAAAACGGTGCGTCGTACGAAAGTAAGTCTATAGACTAAATTTGCTCCAAAATAAATGAGGATTTGAAAAATAATTTGTTTTAAAAAAACGTACCATTTTTTTTTTACAAAAATATCCAGTTCAAACCCCGTACTGACGTTATTGGTAAAAATTTAAAAAATTATTTTATGTCAAAAAATGCTCCTTAATCATTAAAAGATGTGTACAAAATGTATTGAAAATATCGAATGATAAGAAAATTATGATAAAAAAGTTATTGTTTTCTTATAACTGTAACTCAAATATTAAAAGATTAACGACATATTAACTTTTCTTCTTAAAATCACCCAATGATTCAAACCCTTAAGTATCGGCACTCAACTAATAAACACCCTGTATTTGCAAAATGACATAAACAAAAATAATGAAAAATCTTCAATTTTTTCATGGTCTGTATCTAAAATTAATTCCACATAATTTTATTAAAACATTATATAACAACTGGTTTCGGCAGTAGGGCCATCATTAGAAATTATATACTGAGTACGTTCTATGAAAGGATATTCCAAAAAGTACCTATATACTGGGTACGTGCTTTAAAAGTATATTTCAAAAAGTATATACTGAGCACGTGCTAAAACAAGGCATTCTTAGAAGATACTAAAAGTCATATACCCAGCATGTACCTCATATTCTAAAAATGTTCTAAATGCTTGCACGTTTATATACATATCTATATGAATTTTTCTCAGATGCCGATCTGATAATTCGCTAGCAAACGCACTAATGTTGAGTGTTCAGGCCAAAAAAACATTCACAACCTTAATAGAAGAGAAGTAGAAGAATAACATAACCTACAATTCCTACAAATTTTTTTTGATCTCGTTTCAATTTGTAATAGGTAAATAAATAAATTGCATCGTGTGTTCTATATAAAAATAAACAAATTTTACTATATTTGTAGTTTTTAGGACATATAAGTGATGTTAGAACACAGGATATCCCAAATATTAATTGCCAGTGTGAATTTATTAATATGGTTAATACTAATGGCGGATTGAAACTAAAATACAGTGTTACCAGAATTACATACAGGCTTTCTATGAAAAACATCCTGCAAGGCCAGAAATTGACCTGGAAGAACTAGAAAATTAGGTAAAGGAGGGCGAAAACTACAAAATGGTGGTAGGTAATTAACAAAAATATATTTAAATATTCACTAAACACAAAAACCATTTACGTAACTCTTGTTTTTGTTAGTGGAATGCCATGTTCAATTTTTAATGTTTTACGTTCGACAAAAATATTTAAAATATTCCATTAGCTATGTACACTTAATTTGTATATGTACCAAGTTTGTTAATTTTTTTTTTATTTTTTAGGTTCAATGAAGATCCAATCGAATCAAATAAATGAAACTCAAGCCATTGATACAATAAAATATTGGTTGGTTAAGGCCAAAGAAAGAATTTGTAATAAAAATAATAAGTATGAATAAAAATTCATTCAAAAATGAAATAAAGATTTGAAAAATGATCACACTTTCATTATATACACTTATTTTTTAATATTCAATATTAATGAAACATCCTGCATTGGTGTGTCTAGTATATGCCTAGCATATGCTATATTTAAATACTTGGCATATACTTAGAATGTACTATCAAATTAAAGTACCTAGATACTTATTACATACTGTACACATACTTGAAGTACATTCTCAGTATCTGTGTAGCACGTATAAACAACGTCACGTAACATATGCTTAGTATATTTTGACAATGTACTAAGTGCAAATAAAGTATATTCTCAGCATATGCGTATTCTTAAAAAGTATATACTAAGAATATGCTAAGAATGTATAATTGTTATCTGGGCATGTCATAGAGATGGCAGAAAAATACAAGTTAACCCAAATGATGATTTATTTTGAGTCATTGCCTTACTATTTAGATGACTACATTGGAGCAGGTAGATAAACCTTATTTATTTAAATCAAGAAAATAGTCATAGAAATAAAAATACCTTCTCCATTTAATTCTAGCAGCGGGTAAAGAATCCATTGGATCATTCACCAGAAATACTCTGATTCCTCTAATGTAAACTTTAAGATATTTTTCCCAATCGAGTTGCTTCAAATCGCTAAAGAAAATCTCGTTATCTCTGTCGCTCATTTTTCTACACACCCGTTGGACGTTTTCAGACTTGAAGATCCACGTTTGTGTGGCAAAGTAGGATAAAACTCTACTAAATTTATGAATTTTTGAATATACTTTAAACATTCTAAAAATAAAAACACAAATTAGTATTGTCACAAAACAAAAAGTCAATATTTACTATTTCTAACCAAACTGAGTAAGATGGAAAATTGAATAAAGGTGGCATTTGAGAAGGCGCGACTGAGACAGCAACAGGCGACCGAAGGTGGTCGCTTTATATCTAAATCATACGCAATTATATAAAAAAAAATTCGACGTCAGTCTCGGCCACCTGTCGCTGGAACTTATCTTGATTTTCTTTCTCGGTCTCATCTCTCCGTGACCTGTTTTAGACTCCTATCTAGGTTTCCCGTCTCGGTTCTCTGTCTCGGTCCCCTGTCTTGGTCTGTGTCTGTGTCCTATCGCTCTTTTCTGTCTCTTTCTCTTGTCTCGGTCTCCTGTTTAGGTCTCAAATCGCGGTCTTCCGTCTCATTCAAATGCAAACTTTTTTCCCATTTAACCGACTTTGCAACTCTTACAGTTTTCGAGATAGCAATACTGTTCAATATAAAAAGAATATATTTAAAATATTTCGTTTATTCTTAAACTACATGCTCATATTTGTTACGTCAGAATATTTTGTAATTTCAGTATCACTATTAAAGAATAAACTTACTTTGGTTTTTTGCCGACACAAACAAGAACGGCATCTACTATAAACGCAGGAACTGTGTGTAAAAGGAAAGTATAGATGGTGTAAAGTAAGAAATTTTTCTCTAAGATAAAGCAAAAATACCATATTGCTCTTATTGAAGGTGTACTCATTCCGTATGCCTTTGACATATTCATGAAATAATCCCACGTTATAGGCTAGAAAAAAAGAAAATTGATATAATAGCTTTTTAAGGAAAGTCATACAAATACATCAGTGGATAAATTTTAATAAAATCATGCGAGCGCTTTCGATTTTACAAATCTATCATCACAAAATATTAATTTCAATTTAGCAGTTTGCCGATAAGTGGGGATGTATGTTTATTAACATTACTCAGTAACTAGGTCAGTTTAGTTTGCGTATGTAGTGTAAATATTTTTTAATCGAGATTGTTAAAAAAATGATTGCTAAACGTAATGTTTAAAAACAAAAATAAAAATAATAATGTGCCATTAAAAATAGTTTTACAATGTGTAGAAAAAACTAATAAAGCAGAATCGACACCTGCCAAAGTGTTTTTGAGCAAAAAAACAGGACCTGCTTCAAGTAAATCAAACAAATAATATGGAAACAATGGAAGTAGGAGAAATTCTCCTAGCCCAAGAATATCAGGCCTTATTTCATGAAAATCAAGCTAAAAGTCTAAATGAACAGGTATTGTCCCAGATAGCACAGGACGTCCTAAGGACGTCCAATACATGTCCATTTAACGTCTGTACGTCCGGGACCTATTATGGACGTTTTAAGTATGTCCAGTTTAGTAAATCCTCGGGACGTCAAGAAATAGATATCCGCAAAACGTCAATTGTACGTGCTTTACTATATTTCCATGGATTCACATTCGCATTGTATTATTATTTGGTTATATTATAAAAAAAACATATATAATGAGATAATATAAATAATTATTAAAGATGGCATTGTCTCAATATCCAATTGAATGAAGGCCAAATAGACAAAAACGAAGAAGATCTTTTGCAAGAAAGTGACATTGTTGACAAGTGACTTTTTATTTTTATTTATTTAGATATGATTCAGATTCAAGCAAGTGAAATATTCCCAGGGCTCAGGTTTTATTAAAAAAAAGTGTTCAATGTTCATGATTCGATGGTATAAACATATTATACGAGTACAAGTTCTATCATTCCGCCATTTGTACCATTTTTATATCTGAGAAAGGTGGAAGTTTTCCAAAGCTAAAAGGTTAGTGAATTTATAATGTCTAGCAAGGCAAACTGAAACAAACAGATTGGATTTTAATTTTGATATGCCTTTTATTTTGAATAAGCGATTAAATTATTTTCAGATTCAGTTGAGAAGGCAAATATGACCAAATCAAGATATAAACAGACTGCTGTCAATCCAGGCATGGTTGAAAAGAGCAAAGTAGAGGAGTTTTCCAGTGAATACTACAAAGCTAAAAGGTTAGTGAATTCATAATGCAGGGCAAACTTAAACCAACAGATTGGATTTTCATATTGATCTGAATTTTGAATAAGCGATTAAATTATTTTCAGGTTCAACTGGGAAGGCAAATATGGCCAAATCAAAAAGAAAAAAAACAACTGCTCTCAATCCAGGCATGATTGAAAAGAGCAAAGTAGAGGAGAGACGGGATGAGTTTGACGAAAAAGTTTTAATAATTTTACTATTTATAGGTTATTTGCTTTTAAATAAATTTTTTTGAAATTATTCATTATTTTCACTAAGTTTCTTACATCCTATTATTCCCTATTTGAGCTTTTGAAAATGTCCATGGAATGTCCTTAAATGGACGTTCTTAAGACATCCTGATTATTAACAATGGACGTTCCAAATACGTCCATAAGTCGTCCACAGCCGTGAAATGGACGTTTTAAGGATGTCCTGAATGTCCAAGCAGGACGTTTTTAGAACGTCCATAAGACTTATTTTTGCTATCTGGGGTACAATGCTTGGATACAAGAAAAACTAGAAAGTGCATTGCAACAAATGCAAAACCATATGGAAAATATGCAAAAACAAATTAATATCTTAAACAAAGAAAAATCTAAAAGTCCAACGAATTATGAGACTGATGAAGAAGAACTGGCAAAAGAAATTGGCGATCAAATTAACAAGGAAATAGAATGGATAACAGCGGAAAGCAAAAACAATAGAAGAAAAAACGAAAAGCCAACTCCTCTCCAGAAACCTTTCCTGGCCAACCTGAAGGTAGAGAGAGAGAAACAGAAAGAAACAGTCGAAAAAACAGTGAAATTTTTCCCGATAAAAGCAAGCAACATCAATAAGTATGAAGAAAATAATATTTCCTTTCAAGCCACAGCTCTAAGCAAAAGCCGGTTTAAAATTAATACTTAACAAGAAGAAGACTTCAAAAATGTCATATCAACCTTGAATGCAAAGGACATAAATTGGCATTCTTATGAAATTAAACAGAACAGAGACATTAAAGTAATGGTTAGAGGTCTACCATCTACATCTAAACCAGAAGATATTGTTGAAGACTTGCAAAGTGAAGGATTAAAATGTAAAAAAGCTATCAATAATATAAAGAAGGAAATAGAATTAACTGAGGATAACACTCGTAAACTAAATAAAAAATAATTGCCGCTATTCATGCCATCCTTCGAAAATATTGAAGATATTAAGAAAAATTACGAAATTTAAGCAATACTTAAGCTAAGAGTTAGAATAAAAACCATAAGAAAGTCAAAACTAGTTCCGCAATGCAAAAACTGCCAGCTACTTGAAGATACACACAACTTTTCCAAAAGAGAATCAAGATGAGTAAAGTGCTTAGGAAAACATCATACTGTTAGAGTCAGCGAATTAGGATATCGCCGCCACTGGGTCGACGATACCACGTCTGCCCTGTTAGAGTCAGCGAATTAGGATATCGCCGCCACTGGGGTCGACAATACCACGTCTACCCTTCCTCCATGGTCTACCCGTTTCAGTGTCCAGGACCAGAAGAGCTCCGAGAGCGGGGACTTGACGTTCGACCATCCGAACGCTATGAAGTGATAGGCAATATGCCGTTAAAGAATTCTTTATTTTGTTCCTTAATTAATTACATTACAAACATTGTTTACGAGATATTCAATAAAACATAATAAAACCATGTTAACACGTGTTTTATGAAGTGGCTATACAGGGTGTTATAGTATACAGGGTGCTAAATAATTTAAAAACAATAATTTTGAAGTTAATTCTTTTAACTTCTAACAATACGAAGGATTTTGTAAAAAGTCCAGAACCACAACCGAAGTGTATAAACTGCCTAATGGAACATCCTGCTAACTACAGAAGATGTGAAGTAGCTAAGGTAGATAAGGAAGGATAACACCACTAACCCTAAAATAATAACGAGGCAGAAGAGACACATAAACGTTTTTCCTACTGTCAGAAATAAAATAACATATTCTCAGGTAACAAACTCACAGGAGCAACCAATTCAAAGGTCACAACCAGCCATGAATCCCACGCCACAAATTGCACAGCATACTGCACAGTGAACTAGCCTAGCAGAAAATACCACTCATGAATAATAATAATTATTATTATTATCCTTAATAACCAGAATAGATTCACTCTCTGACAGGCTCCAGAAGCTAGAAGAATTAAATAAACCCCAAATATATAACAAAACCACTAATGCACAAAAGAGATAATAGCCACTTAGAATGCCAATGATATTCTCCAAAAACAAACTGATATCCAAGTTTTCTTAGACGTACAAAAAATAGATATATGTCTGAGACCCACATTACAACGAAGTTATACATTAAATTCAGAGGATACAACTTATATCACACTATCTATCCATCAAATGCAGCAAGAGGAGGAAGTGCGTTAATGATTAAAAATAACATGAGGAACATCCAAGAACCAGAAAATCAGGTAACCATTAGCACCATTAATATTAAGGGGAGCAAAATTACAATAGCTGCAATCTATTGCCCACCAAGATATAACTAGAAAAAAGAAAATTATCTCAATGTACTCAAAAAAACTAGGTAACAAATTTATAATCGGTGGAGATTACAGCTCCAAAACACCAACTGTGGTTCAAGATTACACAGTCAAAGGAAAAGAACACTGAGCTGCATAAGAACTTGGTTATACATATCAATCTTCAGAAAAACCCACCTATTGGCCCACCGACCCAAATAAGATTCCAGACCTTTTGGTTTTCTTAATTCTGAGGAAAATTTCACCAAACTATACACAAGTCTAAGAAAACTTTGATATGGATTTAGATCATTCTGCAGCAATCCTGATAATGTTATTCAAAAAGAAGCAAAACCGGCCGTAGAAAATCGGAAAACTAATTTGGAAGGTTTTCAAAAGACCTTAACAAATACTATTCATTTGATCATAACACTAAAAACGAAAAATCAGCTAGATAAAGAACTGGAAAGGTTTATAGTAGAAATCCAGCAAGCTGCATGGAGGAACACGCCAAAAGTAAGAAGATTAACAGCTGGAAAAAACTATCCTGTCGAGATAAAAGAACTGGTAGCAGAAAAAAGAAAACTAAGAAAGAAATGGCAAGTGACAAGATCACCAAAAGATAAAAATATATTAAATAGGGCTACCCAAAGACTGAGAAGAGAAATCCTAAATCACAAAAAAAGAATCCTTCAACAGATACCTAGTAGGGCTAACAGATGATAAAGAAATTGAAAATTCGCTCTGAAAGGCAACTAAAAAGATGGAAAATTCGTGTAAACACTGTCCTCCTATCAGAATAGCAGATAACAAATGGACAAGAGACAATCAGACAATCAACAGACAGCTGATATTTTCGCTGACCACATACAGAAGACGTTCCAATTAGATGAAAATCAAGACACTCCTAACGAGACGATCCACCATAATAAGGAACAACTTGAAATTAGGCTAGTTACTCCCAATTAAGTTACGGAAGAAATTCAAACATCAACTCACAGAACGCCCCTGTATATGACCATATTACTGGAGAAATATTAAAGAAACTACCACGGAAGCTATTGTTAAATGCAGCATTTCCCCTTAAATATATACATGATATGTGGAAAATGGCTGAAGCCAGAAAAAACTCCGAAGTTATTTGAAAAACTACTATTAAAACTACTGAAACCAATAATTGAAAATAAAAATCTGATCCCTTCGCAACAATTTGGTTTTAGAAACAAACACTCGGCAATTGATCAAGTACACAGGATAGCCGATATCATTGTAAAAGCTTACGAAGAAAAATATGTATGCTCAGCTATATTTCTTAATGTAGCCCAAGCATTTGACAAGGTTTGACACGCTGGCCTGATACAGAAACTTGAAAAAACGCTCCCTAGACAATATGTTGACATTCTACAATCATATCTAACGTGAAGAATGTTTAGAGTAGAGCAAGACGAGGCATACCGAACTGAAAGAAATTAAAGCAGCTGCCCCATAAGGCAGTGTGCTAGGACCGGTTCTTTACTTATTATCCACCAGCGATATCCCTCAACAATAAAGTGTTAAAATAGCAACATCTGCGGATGACACTGCAATATTGGCAGTTGGCGAAACTAATACAGAGACCTCAAAAATACTTCAGAAAACCTGCAACAGAAATAATCGATCGACAAAAAAGTGGAAAATAAAAATAAATCAAACTAAATCAGTGCATGTTGATTTTACTCTTCGACCAAATGAGCAAAAACAAATAAGAATAAATACTGACGTTATTCCGCATCACAATTCGGTCAAATACCTAGGGATGAACCTAGATGTAGATGTAGACTTAAATGGAAAGAGCACATAAAAAAAAGCGTAAAGAACTTAAACTTAAATTCAAAAAAATGTATTGGCTCCTAGGAAGAAAATCCAAATTGTCAGTGTACAACAAACTACTGATTTATAAACAAATCCTAAAACCAATCTGGATTAATGGCATAGAGCTATGTGGATGTGCCAGCAAAAGTAATATCAACATGATACAAGTTTTCCAAAATAAAGTCTTAAGATGCATTGTTGATGCACCTTGATTCTATCGAAACGATTATCTTCATAGAGACCTGAAGATTTCAACAATCGAAGAAGAAATAAAGAGGTTTGCTGCGAAAGATGAGGATCGACTCCACTCCCACGTCAACGAAGAAGCGCTACAATTACTGGACAACACTCAACAGAAGGCTCAAAAGGACGAAGCCATTTGAGCTAGTGCAGTAAACGTTAATGTTAGTGATAGTGTAAAACAGTGTAATAAATCATCACGCCAACTTGTGATGCTTTCCTATAGAAACAATTAAGACAGCCCTGTAGGAATTTTGACAATAAATATATGACGACACATTTCCAATGAGCAATCCAAGTATCCCGTTCCGCAACATTCGCGCGTCACAATCATTTTGGGACGTAGGAATACGGTCGCTAGGCAAGTTGTTGTTTTTTGGGCAGAAGTCAATGGAAAAAGTCATTCTTGTAATTTCAATTTTTTATATAAAAAAACCTGTAGAATGTTAATGTGTTCCTGTTCCTCTTCATGGTAATATTATACGAATACAAAAAATCGCAGTTTTTTTTATTGACGCAGCTAGTGTTAAACCAAAAGATACCAGCGTGGCCAGTCTCAGAACTGGCACTCGTGATGAGGATGTAGCCAGCAGCATCATCCCCATTCAAGCCCAATGGAACTTCTTAGATAAGTAATTAGTTTATAAAATTTTGTTCCGGTTTGAACGGTGTTTGTTTAATTTAATTGTAATAAAACAAAAGATTGCATGAAATTCTACTTCGTCTCAGCAGTAAAAAAAGACAATATAAACGTATCACTCACTAAGTCGTTTTCTCTACTGATCTTTTTCTTGGCTTCGTGCTTGCACAAAATCAAAGCCAACACTTTTATGCTTCCGCACGTCTTGCTCTCCGCGAAGAACAGTGTTTTGTTGATGTCTCAGCAAAAGACGAGAGCTGCGGTACGGCTTTATGTAATAAGATATTATGACTTAATAATATTATTGTAATTCCTGGTTGGATATTTATTGATATTATTTGCAGTACTATAACAAATTTTAGATTAAAATTTTAGGTTAGTCAATAATGACTAGTAACAATAAAAAAATATAGCAGTTTTACAATAAAACTTACTTCAGGAAGATATATATATACAAAAAAAAAAATTTGTAAATCCATGTACTATTTAATATTCTTAAAATTCGTTTCTCGATATGTTTTGGTATTAGGAAAAGGTAATATGAGAAAGATGGTTCAGCGCACAGCTGGTTGTTGATATTTTTTTGTCAGCGTTTTCGAGCCGCACTTGAAAAGATCACAATAAAGGCATTGATGTATGATTATTAGCCATGGTATGGATTTCGAGTGTTTTAGGTTACTGGAAATTTAAATAGATTCATTCTGTTATTCTAGCGTTTCTGAAAGGTACTGTTTAGTGGTTATAAGTGCCGGTTGTGAAAAGCTTAATTTATTGTGAATTGTGGGTGATAGGATTTGCAGGTAAATGCCTTTAATATTTATTGATATTAAATTGTTGATTAGATTATAAAGACTGTTTGAATACTGATTTAATAATTATTAGTGCGCACATAAAAATGATATCTGAAGCAAACAATTGCGCGTCTTAATCCCTTTTGTTCATTGCACGACTCTGTTTTGTTTTCGACCTTCGGGGTCAAGCTCTAGTAGGTGGGGCGAGTATGTCGCGCGTCTAAATCCCTTCATACTCATTGCACGCTCAATACTAGTAGAAATGTGGGGCGTATCGCGTGTCTTAATCCCTTTACGCCATAAGGGTAGTAACTAGGCGGGGGTCACGTCGCGCGTTTTATCCCTTCGTGACCACATTTCATACTCCTAGGTACTATGCCTTAAAAATGAAATAGACAAAACAGTAATAAGTACATGTCTTAATCCCTTTGTACTTGGTGATTGTTCGAATAATTATTGAGATAATAAACAAATGATAAGATATTAAATAATTATTGAGATAATAAACAAATGATAAGATATTAAATGATTATTGAGATAATAAATAAATGATAAGATAATAAAATATTATTTAGATAATAATAAAGATAATAAATAATTACTAAAGTAATGTTCACGGACACTCACGAGTATTTTCTTCTTTATAGGAAAACCCGACTATGTGCACTAAATGGACAGCGTCTCGACCATCAAACAAAACATCCTGACACTCGTTATTTTTTATATTGTTTGGTAATTATATAAACATTTATTAATTTGTCTTTTCACCTTTGTTTACTAAATTAAGTTATATCTTTATCTAAACATACCTTTCTCCCTCTCTCTCTATATCGCTTTCTCTCTTCCTCCCTTTTCACCCACTTACACATTGAATATATCATAAAAAAGTTTATCAAAAAAATAACGATTTTACTAGCATTGTTGGGGTGATTTACGTTAATTTTTAAAATATAATGCCCAATCACTACTTCTGTAAAGTAGGCATAAATTGCAACATATACAGTGTGACAATTTAAAAACTTACAATGGGCTATATCTCACAAACGAAAGATGATATTAAAAAATGCTAAATACTGTTTTTAGGATAGGAAGGAATAACTAAAAGGACTCATCCCCATCAACTCCCTAGGCCCCACCTACTCCAACTAAAAAAGTTTAAATAGCAAACCCCTACTTGTGATACATCATATAAAAAATGCTATCTAATGGTATAAATAATAATTGTACAGGGTTTTGCAAAAACAACAAAGTTTTTATTTAACAACAAAAAGAACCTAGGGACACTCATTATTGCAAATAAGGTATTATTGGCCTTTAGAGCTTTTTAACAAGTAAATTTGGTAGTTATTGATATTTGCTGTAAAATTAATATTTATACCATTGAATAGCATTTTTTATATGATGTATCATAAGTAGGGGTTTGTCATTTAAACTTTCTTAGTTAAGGTAGGTGGGATCTAGGGGGTCGAGGGGGTTGAGTTCTCTTTTATGTCATTTTAGTTCCCCCGTCCTATCCTAAAAACGGTTTGAAGCAATTTGATATCTTCCGTTTTTGAGATATTGTAATTGTAAGTTTTTAAATTGTCACACTGTATAATAATTATTATAATTGATCTTTTCTTTTTTTGAAAACGAGAAATATCAGAAGAAGTTTAAGCAGGTAGTGATATCAACATTTATAAACAGATACGAATCAAAAAAAAAAATATAAAATAGGAACAAGACTAAATCCAAAATAAACTTGTATAAACTGTAACATAATGATGAAACGTGAACAAAAAGTGACAGCCGGAGAGGAAGACATTTTTAGCAAAAGGTGGGAGAAGAAAATAAAAAAGTAGCCAAAGAGAGAAACATGGAATAAAAGAAGGTGAATGGAATGGAAAAAGATGCCCAATTCGTCTACACTGGCTTGTTTATGGTAGAAAGATTAACTAAGCAAGTAAAACAGCAGAAAATTCTCGTATTAGAGTACCTCACATATCTTTTAAAAGAGAAATAAAACTTTTCTCAAATTTAACTCTCAATTAAATTGTAGACAGTACCTATCAGGTAATAAAAAAGCTTACTATAAAAAAGCCAAATATTAAAGACATAACTTTTTTCTCGCCGTTATTATCTAAAAGATTTGTATACTTACGCAATCGTTACTGCTTTCGAAATTAAATACAGGAATTTCTAAACGTTTTCCATTATTTTTGGCATTTACAAATAGTTCGTTGACGTCCCAAGCTGCAGATATCATCGAGTTTACGCACATGTCAACGGGCACAATATTTGCGTTACAGTCCTTATCACAATGTAAAGTTCTTAATAGTCCTACACCAGCTCCCGCGACTACTCCAGTGGCTCCGTACATGTTATTTATCCAGGCGCGGACTGGCTCTCTCGCTGTAGATACAACTAAAAAAAAAAGTACATTTAAAGGAACATTTCAACAAAGCAACAGTATTTAAAGGGACCTCTAAGACCATACAGAACGAACTAATGGACTGCATGCTTGGCGTTTACCATGAAGAAGTGGCTAAAGAAATAAAAAAAAAACGAATTATTTAGCTGTAATTGCTGACGAAACTACCGATGTTGCTAATTAATTTCAATTGGTCATTATTCTACTGTGCATTGCCTCCAGTAAGTTATTAGAAAGCCCCGGGGGTCCGCGGACCACACTTTATATTTTTTTAGCTTATTTTTTGAGTAAAAGGCTCATTAATCATAAGAATTTTCTTCTCAAAGGAGGTCATGTACCCTATGGTCCCCCTCCAGTAGCCGCCCTTGGTCTGCCAAAAGAGCAAAGAAAGGTTTTCAAATTGCTAAGAAAACTATTCAGAGCCAAAAACCTAAAATAGTTAGTCTTCGTGCCCGAAACGTAAAGATACAGGTATAAATATTTAGATATTATGAGTGAATTTTATTAAATAAAGAGAACGTAATTTGCTTCTGAATCACTAACGAACGTAGTAACAAACTAAACAAGAATATCACATTATTCATGCTTTTTTCTTTATTAAAAAGCCTCCCAAAAAAACATTGAATATTTATTATTGGAGTTTATATCGCTATGCTAAAACAATACTAGAACAATTTAAAAAAATGTGGATTTTGAGTTAATCAAATTATTATGATGTAAAAAATATCTTTTTCTACACCCACATGGATTTTACAAAACGAAAAAGTATTATTGCATTCAACTGAACGAATATATTTCATATCCATTCTAGGTAGTGAGAACACTGCAAAAAAATGAACTCCACCAATCACATTTCATATTTTGGACACCCAACTTCTATTATTTTAAAATTTTTAAATAATAAATGCCAATTATGTCACTCATTGTTGGTATATTTTTTAGTTATTTAGATTAAATATACAATAAAATTAGTTATTTTTGTGCAGAATCGATAAATAATAGCATATTTATTTTTATTTGATCCACATTTGTAAAATTCTAATCAAACAATATGAAACTAATTTAATTAAAAGTGGCAGTGAAGCTGCCTTTTTTTATGTGGATAGCTAGTGTTCGAATTTGGGCTGGGGACTAATTTTATAAATTAGTAAAATTCATAAATTATTTTAAAATTAGTTATATTGTCTTAATAACCTAAAATCTTTTTTAAATTTGTATTTTCGTTAGTGGGTCGTAGAAAAAATATACTGTACAACTCGAGTGATTGTCCATATCGCACTTAGACGATTCAGCACTTCTCTTACGGCGTCGTCTTCCCTTTCATTCTCAAGATTACAGAGAAAACTCCGTGTCCTCTTTCACATATTCGGACCTTCTTTGACGTACCACCAATTTACATTATCAGCCTTTTTTGTTATCCCGAGCAATTTAAATGCGTTCGTAATTGCTCATTTTCACCTCTACTCTCGTAGATTTTGTACCCATTTTTCTTCGTTTTGGTTAAGTTTTTAATTCTCATATGGATTCATTTTAATGATTTATAAATACCGTCAACTATTTAATTTTAATCGTGACTTTATTGAAGAGACCAACCAACTCTTGTTCTTATTATAATTAAGGATTATTATTACAAGCCCGAAAATGGCCCTGTGAAGCCGAAATTAGTCGCTCCTGTATTTATTTATGATAAAGTTAATGAGGTACTGATTTCGAGGTTATATTCTTCAATTGAAAAAATTACACCTCTACAGTGATTTTGTTTTATTTTCTGCATCGAACATATTTATAAGACATACATTTTAAAAATAGTAAAATTAGCGAATTTTTTAAGTTTGTTTTACAATTAGAAAGTTCGGACAATGTATGTTCTTAGGAAGTGAGTTTACCTTCCTTCTTGTACCCGCTTCCTCACTTCCTCTACAGATGTTGAGAACAGAACAATCGCCTACAAACTCGCTTAACGTTCCCTCTATAGTAGTAATTGCTCGGAGGTTTTTACAGAGAAATGATACGCCACTGAACCAGGGAGTGTGTTTACCTTCCTCCAAATTCGCCTCACGCTGCTTCTAGTAGTAATTGCTTGGATATTTTTCTAATAGAAAGAATTGTCTTCCTTCGATTTGAGCTAAAATTGACGGGTCCCAACATTTCTCAAAATCCCAAAACTACAATGGCTAGTTTTCGGTAGGCCACCCAAAAAAATGAATTAGGCGTAAAATTCAGTGGCGTCCTTAAAAATTTTCCTCGTTCAATTAAAATTCTATTTTCTTTAATATTTCGAATACATGACGCAGATGAACGTCAACCAGTGTATAGTTTTAATTACATACAAAGCCAAACGTAGAGCATATTATCTATCCTTTAAAAAACTTACCTATTGCAGGTCTGGTGATTCCAACTGGGAGATCTTTTCCTAAATCTTGAACGACGTGTTCGGCAATTTGTTTGGTGTAAGCATATGTGTTTGGATAATTTTCTAAAATCCTGAAAAAAACCAACTTTTGAAAAATAGTTCATCAGTCAGAGAAGTTATTATGAATTTTAAATTAAAAATAAATTATTCATGGATCCCGCTTAAATAACGTGACTGTTTAATTCTAAATATTTTGTTAGATTTTGTACTAACAGGGGCAACGTTTAGGTCTTCATTCACAGTTTGGAAGGGTAGCCAATATGTTATACTAAAATTAAAAACAAAAAAACCAGTTGATAAGTAAAATTCATGTACTTTTGATATTTTTTTAACTGTGTATATAAGTCGTTCAAATGAACAACTTTTTCAAAATACTCAAAAAATAGATACATAATTTAAAAATCTAAATCCGTGCCTGGACTGGTGTATGAAGAGTTTATGTTTATGTTTATGTTTTTATCTTTTTTAAAACATTTTTGGAATTCTAATAATTATACTTACGCAGGAGTCAAATTTTCTAGTAATTTTTCAGAAAGCGTATCCGTCATCACTATAAGTTTCCTATAGTCCATTGCAGGCGGATAAAGCTTTTCTTCTATAACTTTTTCAGGACAATTAGCGTAGGCAGTGGAAACGTGGATGTATGATTTGAGTTTTGGCATTTCTTGGGCAAGGCGAAGCATATCTTGTGTGGCTCTAACATTTATATCTACCGCTGTTTTTATTTTTTCGTCGAATCGTACTGTAGCTGCTACGTGGAATACTATGTTAACCTAGAAAATATGTAGCAAAAAGTATTCAACAGAAAACAAAATTTTATATATAAAAGTTCATTCCTGTCGTTGCTAAAAGAAAAAAATTATCTAGATGGCTGTGATTTCATATTTAAAAAAAAAAAGGAAATTTACCCTTGAGCCAAAATCATAATTATATGGTATGTAAGCACAAAAATTTTAATATTGCTTAAGTACAGTCTGTTCGCTATACTTACGCGGGTTTCGGATTAAAAATTTTATGAGTATTTCCAGGTAAGTACCCGAAAGTTTGACCTGTTCTTTGGGGAAATATCAACTGGTTAAATGAAATGAAAAATAATGTACAACTTTTTAATGAAAATAATTTAGTCTAATGAGGCTACTATAAACCTAATAATAATTTTATATTACACTTCACACAGAAAATATGGTCTATGTATAATAAGAGGGTTATTTAGCTCAAATAAAATATTTTCTAAAAAAAATTTGTTCCATGTAGAGAATTTCAAATGAAAAATATAAAAATTGAACTTGCCAACAAAAATGAAAATCAGTCATTATCATAATCGTCATCATCATCACTGTCATCACCATAAATTGTTATTATGATTGGACTTATTTCGTTCATTTTATTTTTACGAGTCCACCAATCTTCTATTAGTTTCTCGCACTTGGATATACAGTTCCGCAACACTTCTGGAGTTGCAATTGAAAGTGCTTTTTGCCAAGTTTCCCGAACTGCGTCGTCACTATAACCATTAAACCCAATATGGTTGTCATAATATTGTTTTGTTATTCCCCATATATATTCGATGGGATTAAACTGGCAATGATACGGTGGCAGACGTAAAACTTTCAATAATCTGATCCACAACAAAGGTTTTTGGTTTTGCGTGTATATTTGCCAAGCGTAATAATTCTGATTTTAATATATGTTGAGGAAATGGTATATGTTCCTTTGTCAACCATTCTTTAATTTTATCAACAGTCCAAGAATTCGTTGGACTTTTGTTTAATACTTCAGAATGGTAAGGTGCATTGTCTAAAATAATTACGCTGAGCTCACTTAAACCTGGGAGAAGTTTTTCATGCAACCATTTTACAAACATTTCTGTGTTCATATTATCGTGATAGTCACTGGATTTTGATTTAGATGAAAATATTAAATCAGCACCTTCTATAAAACCCGATTACCCCCGAATTCGCCCCTTCTTCTTTAAATTTAGAATATTTTTTTAGAAAGTTAATTCTCTTGTGCACGACAGAACTTCTTTCACAAAGGGCCTTTCTGTTATCCTCCTTTTAAAGTTTGAAACCCAAGTTATGTATCACTTGCCATAGACTTGTTCTGCCAATGTCGTCAAATTTTCTATCTATTAATTCCGAGAGAATTGTATTTAAGGTCACATATTCCTTCTTGGCCCTCATTCGATAAATGGTATCACAAATTTCAAATTTCTTTCCATCTGGAATATCTTTCGTTTTCAATGATGGGCGAGTTCACTATTGTGATTTTGTAATACTCCTCTTAATTTGGTTTCACTAATTCCTAGAGCATCGCATGCGCGTTGTTGTACAGACATTACCGATTTTAAAGGACTGCCATTTTCTTTTTCATCTTTAAAATTCTAATGTACACTACAAATTAGACTATCTACAGTTCATCAAATTTCTAGAGGTGTTCGACGCCCAGACAGAGAACGCGCTACGTGTGACTAAGATAGCTATTGTACAGTCTGTTAAACAAGTTATTTTAAATAGTTTTTAATATTTTTAGGTAATTAAATTTTAAAAGTGTGGAATAGTTTAGGGATTAAATTGGTCTGATTGGACTTTCTTAGAACGTTTTTAAAAGCAGCTAAAGATAGTATGTAGAATTGAAAATAATTATTATGCCATAAAAGGTGTTTTGGAATTCCTTCAACCTTTTGAAATTGAGTCAGAAAATATAAATTTTATAGGATAGCGGAAAATACCTATAATTTTTTTGTAGGCCTTTGTAAATCGTGGAAATAGTTTATATTTTATGTCTACCTTATTAAGGAAAATGGTACCTATTATTAATAACGGTTGTTTCTGAAACATTACTAAAATTTTCGAAATTTTGTTTTTCTACAAAATAATAAACTATACTATTTAGAAAAAAATTTATTTCTCTTATAATTTTATAAAAAATAACAGGGGAATATTTACATTTCTTGATCTATTAAACAAAACGATAAATTATCTCGACGAATGACACCATGTTCTAGTACGGAAGCTAGCTTTACATTTTTGTTGGTGGTTTCATGGGTTTCATATCAATTTTTTGTAATTGTAGTTTACACGTACATATTAACACTTGTTTGCTTTATTAAAAAAGTGTGTTGTTGTGATTTACGTCGAAATAAGTCAAAAACAACTTGAAACCCCATATAAAATCAAAAAGGAGAAACGGAAAAAAATTGAGCCTGTAAATGAACACAACTCAGAAACAAAAATAGCTATCTAATAATAAAAAAATAAAATTTGATTCTTGTGCAGCTTCATCTATATCATTAACTGTTTTTGGTTTTTTAATGGTTTTTCTTGGTGATGAAAATTCCGATATCTCACGGTTATCGATTCTTTTTTTCTCTCCAGAAATGCGGACGACAGTGTTTTTAGATACTCCTGTGGCTGCAGCAACATGATCATTTACATTTTTAAATGGTATTGAAGGTGAATTAAAGTTTCCTTCTCTTCTCATAAACTCTATAACATTGGCTATTATTTCGCGAGATTGACTGTTAATCACGCGGCCTCTTAATTTGCTATTAAACTCCATACTTAGGTTCTATTAAACTGTAATGAGCAAAAAACACAAACGAAAATAAAAGAAATGTTTAAGCGAAATTTACATCTGACATTTACGTCTGAATGAAATAGTGAAATACTTGATGCGCAGAGTGTACTTCCATTGCGTAAATCCGTCGGGATGCCTGTCAGTAGTGCTTTCTCTGTCTAGCCGTCGAAAGCCTCTAGAAATTTGATGAACTGTACATCTAACACACGTCTAGGCATTTTTAAAATTTCCACTAAATTTGCAATATACATACAATGTCAACACTTGCAAAGAATCGATTCAACTGCAATATTTGTAACAAATTTAGTACCTACCCTAATGGTATTTTAATTTAAATCTGAACATTAGGGCAATTTTACCTAATTTCTTGGGAAGAGGCTTGTTGAAACTGGATGTCAATGACTAATTTGCATAATTTTGTTAATCCGAAAGCCGCGTAAGTATAGCGAACAGACTGTATGTAGTTCTATGTCATGCATGCACATTTTCTGAGAAATCAATAATAAAAAAGTTGCCCATATGGTGTAGACATTTTTCAACACACAATATTTTTTTTGCGAAATACATTTTATATCAAATAATTTTTGAAAAAAAAAATTATACATAAAAAATGCAAAATTATCTTGCTAACAAGAAGATAACAAAAATAATAAATTGGGAAAAATGTATTCAAATAAAAATTAAATTAGTTATTAAAGAAAGAATAGACTAAATAAATTGTAAAATTGGAGAATAGAAAATAAAAAAAAAAACAAAAAGCAGGGTAAGAATGACGACGAAGTTATAAGAAAGAAGAGGTAAATCCCAGAAAGAAATAGAGACGTGAGACGTAGACCGAGATAGAAACAAAAAAAGGTACATGAAGAAGAAAAAGCTCAGATGAAACTATTTATTGCAATATACTATAAAAAAGTTAACATTAAGAGGAAAATTTACTTAGCTTCAGTGCAAGGGTTTAGTAGTACTCCATTTTAAAAATTAATTTTTTAATTTCGAGAGGCTCTAATTTAATAGTTCCCACCTTATCGAGGCTAAGATCCCTACGGTCAAACTCGTGGCATAAAAGAAGTCAGAAATGCCGTAAGTATTAAGACGTTCAATTTTTAGGTTTGTGATCTTTACATTAGTCCATGTCGCCTTTTGAGTTTACAAATTGTTTAAACAATTTATGTAAAAATATAATATGGACTCTTTACCCCTTAAGCCTGCTCATGTAAAAATATTTGGTTCCTTTATTCCTTAAGCCTGTCCATTAATTATTTGATTAAGTCTGCCAATGTAAAAATATTTTCGGCCTTTGTCCCTTAAACCTGTCCATGTAAAAATATTTGGTCCCGATATCAAAATATTTTGTTCCTTAACCACTTACACCTGTCTATTTAAAAATGTGACAGTTACCCCTTAAGGCTATCCATCTAAAACATTTGGATTTTTTACCCCTTAACCTTACCCATGCAAAAATATTTGACCTTTTACCCTTTAAGCTTACCTGTCTAAAAATATTTAATATCTTTAGATCTATGTAAAATTAATATTTAAGTCCTTTATCTTTTCTATTCTAATGCGATGATATAATTTGTGTTTCAGTGACATTGATATTGACATAGAGGTTATAAGTAACATTTTATTTCTATTTTTTTTTTTCAATATTGCATTCATTTAAACATTAAAAATAATTTGGTTACATACCATTACACTACTTTTTTATGGCCTACATACAATATTAAATAAGAAACTAAAATCGTACATGGCAATTTCAATGGAAAAATGTTTTTTTTTGTTGAAAGAAAATTTTCAGTCTGGTCCGTCTTTACTAATATAGAGTAGGTTGCTCTTAACGTAACACGTTACATCAGGGGCGCATTATGGGGAGGAGGTAATGGAGGTAAGTACCCCACCAAGAAATTTTAAACCCCTATTTATAGGTACTAAAACGTACTATTATCAAAAATAAAGCCTTAAATATTACCATTACCCCCCAGACTTAAACTTTATTACTACCAGGCCCGACGAGAGGGATGTTTTGAAGAGACAAGGCCTTGGTTTTAGAAGCTCGTCAGAAAAAGGAGGTAGTTTACGAAAAATACAAATTTTAAATTTAAATTTAAAATTTTAATGGTGGATGGAGTAGCGTTGAAAGTACTCGGCAAATCCGTTTACGATGGAATCAGGATTACTTAAACAAACATTATTTAATAGTGTATTTAGGGATACAGCGATCAAAAACTTTCTACACTTTTCCGTTAAAATATGAGCAAGCGTTAGTCATTTACATCATTAAATAACAAGTTTTCATTTGATTCTGCCAATCGTATCCTACAACGTAACGTAATTGGCATTAGCGAAGTTATAACATTTTCAGATGGTACTGAATGATTTTGTTTGGAACAAACTTTGGCCTTGAATTTGAAAGGTATTTCAACTAAGGCCCTAGGGGATCTAATAGTTATGTAACTAAAATTATGCAATTGCAAAAAAATTATACATTTGTACTAATTTACCTGTTCTATTAAAGTCTGTCTATCTTCTAATGAAATACCCAAGTTAGGTAGCGAACAATCGCCGGCTATTCCAACGACCTTGTGTCGAAATTTCGAATTTTCCTTCTTCAATCTATCGAAGATGACTTCGTCAAAAATTTCATCGACCCTGGTGTGCATTTTCTTTCCTTTCTTGTTCCTTACTAAAATGTATATTGTAGATAGATGTTGGCATGATCTAAGTAGTTTTTCTAATAAGATCTTTCCCAAAAAGCCTGTGGCACCGGTGATGAAGATATTGGTATCCTTGTAGAATTCTTGGATCTGGGTAAGGTTATTTGGGTCTACTGAATCGGAGTTTATGGCTTCGGGCAAGTAGTCGTCGCCCAATAATAAGGGATCTGGAAATTAAAAAAAATGTCAATAAAATACGAAAATTAAAATTGTTGATGAAAACATTTTGTTTTTAAAAATGTTTTATTGTTACTGAAATAAAAAAAAAAGTATAAAAATACATTTTTACTATTAATGATTTTCTTCTGTTGCAGGTCAGTGAAATATTGATGTATTATAATTTTGAAGAGATATTGCAAGATTACCAATGGTAAGCAGTTTTTTTATTTTGATTTAGTTATATTTTAAAAACTTTTTTGTCTTTATATACAGCTAAGTATCAGTTATAAATTAATAATAAAGCAAAACATTTAAAGTAGAAATAAATTATTTTCTAAAATAAACTACTTTCAAGTACAAAACGGTTCCTTAAAGCACCCGCAATTTTTTATTTAATTTGACTCCTTATTTTGGATATAGTAATGTTTACTTACAATTTGGCATTGGATGTATTGATTTTGATAAATCAATAAACAGCATATACAATCAAAGATCAAGTAAGACCCAAAAATCCATATGCAAGCATTTATTTGGCGTCTAGTTTTGCTACTTTCGGTGTAGGTGTACGTGTAGGGAGTCCTACGGCCTGTATCTCAAAAACCCTCAGTTCTAGAGAGTCGATCGAATATTGCAACACAGTGCACATCACTTTTAAAGAATTGAGACTGTATCTGTCTGCTTTAGCATTTTTCTTGAAATGGGGTTCATTTCTATCTCATAATAGCTATTTTTTTCTAATTTTGACTAGATTATTTATAAAATTATGTTTGGTAAAAAATGACTAACCATTAATTTTTTGTGTTTCTAATTAGAGATTTTAGAAAGCGGTTACTAATTGTAAGTTTAATACGGAAATAGAACAAAAACAAACTTATTCTACATCACAGATTAAGAAGATCTAGCAATTAGATCTACAAGTTATGAAATTCCTGATATATCTCGAATTAAAAAATTCTTATACGATAAAAAAGGATGCCTCAGAAACACGTGTGATTTCTTTGCATCAATGCATCAATGCATTCGGCTGCACTACTTCTTATGCGAATCTACTATTTTGACTTAACTGTGATAAATAAGCTTCAAAGAATTGTATTGGCTCACGAGAGATTGACAGATGTGGTGTTTCATTTAGTTATATCGATTTTAAATTTTTATAAAGGTATTTAACACGTGTTCATTTATTAAAAATTTTTTGTAATGCGATATGCAAGTTTGTTTTGCAAATAATTATCTGGTCCAACTATTTTCGATCCCCTTTCATATGACGTATATGAAAAGGGAGTCCCTATACCCTCGACCAAACTATAACGAGCCCTATTTCAAATTTCGGATACCTAAAAATTGATTCTGGCTACGGCCCTGGCCTAACCTTCCTTCCTCCAATATAAACTTTGAAACACAATATACAGTATCTGCTATCGAACACTTTCTAATACGATTTGCACAAGTGCGTGTGAAAACTACAGTAAGTTAGCATTAGCGCGAGCAGCAAACGATAATATCAGCGATGTTAGTTTATATGGTCTAGCCAACATTACAACGCGGTCGAATCGTATAAACTGGCAACGTTGAGCCCAGAAACAAACAATTACACAACGCTGATATTATTCGTTTCCTGCTCGCTTTAATGCTAACATTCTCTAGTTTTCACATGCACTTGTGCAAGACGTATTGGAAAATATTTAGTGGCCGACACTGGCGACACTGTATATGTTACCAACAATATACGAAATAACTACAATTCATTAGAAATTATGAAGAATTACTAAAATTTCGGGCCATCTGCAAATTCACTACGATATTTTTAACAATCTACAAAATGCCTCATGCAAGTCAATTGGAAGCTTGAAGATTTATAAGTCCCACATTATCTAGATACTTTGAAGATGAATAATAAGACATGTAATCGGTGTGTTAAATGGAAAAAACAACAGCTGCTTCATAGCCGGAAAATATTTAATTTCTGCAATAAATAAAATATACATTAATTCGCTATTAAACGTAAGTAAGTAACGTAGAATGTAGAACAAAACATTTAAAGAAGCCTTGGGTAATCAACAAACACTTGTTATTTATTTAAAACAAGGGATTAGAAAAGTGGCAACGACTATTACACAATGCTTTATTTTTAAGGCATTTTTATGGTTCATTGCAACATTTTTTAGTAAGGTTGAATTTCATAATTCCCTGACCACCGGTAGTAAAATATAATAGAATCCCATTTACTATATGGGGAACATGTTCGGCCAAATTGTTCACTAGAGTTTTCATTACGCAAAAGAGGTCCACGAAATATATTTGGAACGTAATAATTCGTATAAGCCTTTATTTTTGAAACACAAAATTTGGACGTAAGCTCTTGAGCTATTTATTTTAAAAATAATGTGTTTAGATTCAATAAAAAAATAATTTAAAAAAAACATAAATGTAACAACAAGAAATAATACACGGCGATTACCATTATCTTGATAGTTTGGTAGGATTCCCTCTTTTTCCACATTAATAAGAAACTCCATTTTTTTATAACGAGGAGAAAATGTTGTAACTTAATATTAGAATTGTAAAAATTGTAGAAGGATTCGTAGATAAGATTAGGCATTGTTGCTTACGAGGACTTATTAAACGTTTGAAGAATTTTATTGCACCAATTTTAGTTAATTGATTTTATTGTATTTATTTTATTGTATTACTCTTTTTTTATTTTTATATTTTGTATTTATATTTTTAGTGTATTTTTAATGCTGTGCTTTTTAACTATTGACATTTTTATGGCTTTGTGAATAAGAATGTATTTTTTTTCACAATATCTCAATATCTCAATATCTCAATATCTCAATATCTCAATATCTCAATATCTCAATATCTCAATATCTCAATATCTCAATATCTCAATATCTCAATATCTCAATATCTCAATATCTCAATATCTCAATATCTCAATATCTCAATATCTCAATATCTCAATATCTCAATATCTCAATATCTCAATATCTCAATATCTCAATATCTCAATATCTCAATATCTCAATATCTCAATATCTCAATATCTCAATATCTCAATATCTCAATATCTCAATATCTCAATATCTCAATATCTCAATATCTCAATATCTCAATATCTCAATATCTCAATATCTCAATATCTCAATATCTCAATATCTCAATATCTCAATATCTCAATATCTCAATATCTCAATATCTCAATATCTCAATATCTCAATATCTCAATATCTCAATATCTCAATATCTCAATATCTCAATATCTCAATATCTCAATATCTCAATATCTCAATATCTCAATATCTCAATATCTCAATATCTCAATATCTCAATATCTCAATATCTCAATATCTCAATATCTCAATATCTCAATATCTCAATATCTCAATATCTCAAAATCTCAATATCTCAATATCTCAATATCTCAATATCTCAATATCTCAATATCTCAATATCTCAATATCTCAATATCTCAATATCTCAATTTCTCAATATCTCAATATCTCAATATCTCAATATCTCAATATCTCAATATCTCAATATCTCAATATCTCAATATCTCAATATCTCAATAACCGTAAAGACTATTTAACCAAGTTAACCAAATTATTAAATACACGGCAGATGACAGCAATGAAATACACGTAAAAATATACAAATATAATCATCAAACTTGTTGTTATCCGCGACATGGCGGCTTTCACACCCTTCAGAATATTAGTGAAGTTTTTAGTTTCGTTAAACAACTGTTTTTATTACCTCCATTATGAAACACTAACACTGAACTGCTTAGTCAACGTGAGAAACAAACAGCTTCAGTTTCAGATTAACTATTGATCAAGCATTTCGCAGATAGGCAAGAATATCGCAGTGAATTTACAGATTATCCGAAGTTGTAGTCATTTAACCAGTTGCCAGTTAAAATTAAACTATGTGAATTATTTAAATATCTCTGAAAATTATTCAGTTTCTTTAGACATTTTAAAAATTTTATTAGCAAGAGGAGTCTTATAATATCTCGTTTGACAGATATTTTTATCCTCAATTCGTTTATGTAAATACTTAAAAACTCCTCAGATTTGTATCGACAATAAATTCAATAAAATAAGACAATATTAAAGGCAAGAAGTCCAGAGGTACACCTAAATATTTGAAGAAGTACATCTGACAACTCAGGCCAGAAAAAAGTGGAAAAAATATAAAAAAAAGTTTAAGAACCAACTGTGGCAAGCAACCAAAAAAGTATTTTGTTATACTCATCTTGCATTTAAATATATAGCTTGCACCACTAGAAAGTAGTGATGCCACGAGATGAGACGAGACGAGAGAGAGGCATCTCTCGTCTTGTCTTGTATGACGAGAAGGCGCTTCGTTGTCTCGTCTTGACTCGTCTCATTTTTCTTGTGATAAAAACAATAAATTTAAATTTGGAAAAGATATACTTAGGACGAAACATGAAAAAACTGTAAAATTTTGAAGACAATAACAAATAATTTTGGCAATAGGAAACACTTAGGGAATTACCTCGATGTCTCTGTCTGTCCGTCTGTCACAATTGTTTTACTTAGACCTCTTTGACAAACAATTTAACTTTGAAGCAATCAGTGGTCCAAATTAGGCGTTAACTAAAAATGTAAATACTATTACGCAGAACCCTGCAGCGTACTGCGGTCGTCATAAGTAAAAGTTTGAGTAAAAGAAGAAGAGGGAATATTTGTGAAATGTCATTCCACGTCAAGAAAAATCTGGACAGTTCAAAAAGGTTCGAGAAGGTTAAAGCAAACTATATAAGTCTGTGATCCTGACCTCAGTCAGTCAGTTTTATGATAGACGTTACGTTAATGTTATCAGTTGTGTAGTTAATGTAAAAGTTAAGTTGAAATAAATTGAGCTACCAAAAACCTGCGTAACAGTGGTGACAGCGGTAGGATATAAAATAAAAGTTACTCAAGCATTCTATTTATGGTAAATACTAAATCCACTGCGCACGAAACAGATATGGGTACTT